GAAATGCAACACTCAGCTTACCAGCGGCGACGCGGAGTAGTAAGTAGGCAAGATGAGCCCACTTTGAATAGACCACCTGGTATTTTCATTCGGGGCTCGGATCCACCGGCAGAGCCGGAAGGTCCCCCAACCAAGAAGTCAAAGGCTTCAGACTCACCTCCCCCGAGAGTTTCTGCAGCCCCGCATAGCTCACGTGCTTTTCCAAGTAAGCCTACTCAGGCTCCGGAGTTTAGAGCGTTTCCTGAAGAGCATCCACCGAAGGTGGAGTCATCTGTACAGGCTGAAGCTTTGCCAAAGGCAATAGCTGGGCCCAAGCGGACGCCGATGCTCACTTTGCAGGATGTACAGGCCAAGTACTCGGAGCAGCAAATCTGCCGCATCATTCGCTGGTATGAGGGAGTGAAGACAACCATTCCTGATTTCGAGCGATATGGTTAGTTGTTTGTATGTAGTTTGTCTACATGGTTGCAAGCACGAAGTCAGAGAGATTTTTGAGATCTCTTTGATTGTTTTCCTAACGTGCTTTGGTAGTTATTTTCCACTGTATATAGCTCAAAGTGTAGTTCGTCTAGAAGGTTGCCAGCGCGAAGTCAGAGAGATTTTGGAGATCTCTTTGATTGTTTTCCTAACTTGCTTTGGTAGTCGTTTTCCACTGCATATAGCTTAAAGCACATATTTTCTGCACAGGTCTTTTGCGGTACCAAAGGTGCCAATGTACAGCACATGGGTTACTCGCGTCCGCTACGTCAATTTGGGCGTGGTCTTTCGTATCACAGTCAGAACAGGGACTGTGACAAAGCTGCTCCGGGCAGCAAGCAGGGGTGGAAGCTCTTGTAAGACCTAGCCCTCACCTTTCCTTCCTTGGCCTCATCGCCGCCGCCATGGCTCTGAGATTGGTCTATTTGAGACTATGTGTTTGGGGCCTCATCAAGAAGAGTTCAACACAGGTGCTCAACGAGGCAAAGTTTGGAGATGGACGCTGACAGTACTGCAAGCAATGGTGGATGAACATCAGTGAACTCTGTATCTGGTGTGGTATGAACAGTAAAGGCTTTCGAAAGGAGCAGCGTGGTGCCACACCTTTGCTGTCTGGGTTGGTGAGAGGTATCGTTCTGATTATTGGGAACAAGCAGGCCAGAGAAGCCAGGGAATCGGAAGCACCTTGCTTCGTCTTCATGTATCCCTAAAATCAGAGACGGACCTCGTGTTGGCGCACCTTGCAGATCACCGACGAAAGGGGGTGTGAAATATGACGCGCTGACTGCAGGTACCCCAGCAGCACAACTACCGCTTGGCTGCATAAGTTTGCATTGTAGTTTTGTGGGCGTGGGTGGACTGCTGAAGCTATAAATGCTTTCGCTTTTGGTCCGAACAAGGCCTTGAGCTGAAACCCGCTGACAAGAAAGAGCAAAAGAAAGTTCCCTCTCGACTGTGCTCTACTGTGCATTTGCAGCACAACTGTGGATCAGAGTAATCCACCCAAATAGGTTCACAAGTTTCACCTAAACCCTAAACCCTAAACCCTAAACCCTAAACCCCTAAACCCTAAACCCTAAACCCTAAACCCTAAACCCTAAACCCTAAACCCTAAACCCTAAACCCTAAACCCTAAACCCTAAACCCTAAACCCTAACCCTTCTGACTCTGATCCCGGAGGAAGCATGAAGGTGGATTCAAAAACTTCCCGGATACCGTGGAGGCAGCCTCAGGGCTTGGAGAAGGGTGGAAACAGGTGTAGAACCCACCACCCACCCCCCTCTATTGCAAGATGTGGCAGTTTGGGGTTTAGGGTTTAGGGTTTGGGGTTTGGGGTTTGGGTTTTGGGGTTTTGGGTTTGGGGTTTGGGGTTTGGGGTTTGGGGTTTAGGGCTTTTTGGCTTCCGAGGGTGAAGTGCCTTTGGTGGTGGAGGTTATCTTTCGGAGTTGCCATGAGTGTTCGGCGCGGCTCTAAACAGGGGTTCTTGGATGCTACGGACTTCACTCCTTCTGCCTTGTTACCCTAAACCCTAAACCCTAAACCCTAAACCCTAGACCCTAAACCCTAAACCCTAAACCCTAAACCCTAAACCCGATGCATTGGGAGGCATCCTACGCGATTCCGTTCTTCATCGGGAAGCAGAAGTGCAAGGACGTCACATCGGGGGCTTGCTTCAAGGAGGTCCGCGTCCCAAGTTGCACCTTACTAGGGTTTAGGGTTTAGGGTTTAGGGTTTAAGGTGTAGGGTGTAGGGTGTAGGGTTTAGGGTTTAGGGTTTAGGTTTTAGGGTTTAGGGTGTACACCTTGCTCTACTCTTCAAAACTTGGACGCCCTGTGGTACCCTTTCCCCCTTTTGTTGGTTCAAGGTTTCCTTTTTAAGTGACCACCCCAAAAAGGGTGCCCTTAATTTAATATGGTTGCTGCGCTACCAAGAAAAGGGAATTCAGAGAGCAAGTATCTTCCTTTATATAGCCCTTTATGGGTTTGAGGGTGCCTAACTCCCTAATCCCTACCACGAAGACGCCGTGAGTATCAGAGACTTTCTGTCCGGGCAGGTCAACCGCGTCATGACCAGCACGAAGCGGATGGGCTACGCCACGTGGCCTCTCAGCTTAAAGGAGGGGGCGTCAACGTCATACACAGAGCTGCTGCTTGGAGCACATCAATTCGACACCCCCCCCCCCCTCCCCAAACAAAGGGCATGAAGCAGCCTGGCACAGTAACCTTCGAAGTAGCTCAGAGATGTTAGACACTTACTACCCTAAGTCCTAGACCCTAAACCCTAAACCCTAAACCCCAAACCCTGAAGTCCACGAGAAGCCCTGCCTGTTCCACCTTCGAGCCAAGGCCGGCATCAGGCACCTTTCCACACTCGACTTTCAAGGCTTCTGGGGTTTAGGGTTTAGGGTTTGGGGTTTTGGGGCCCAAGGGCACAGTGGGCTTACCTAAACCCTGAAGCCCAAAGCCTAGACTTCTCCTTGGGTGTGAGGTCCCCGAGCTGCACCCCCAACAAAGCTGCCAGCGCTTCTGCCAGGAGTTCCAGGCGTCGCTTCACTGGGCGCGCGACTGCGCTGAATGTGGTATGATGTTCAGGATTGCGATGAGGGACTACCTTAAGAACCCAAAACCTACTTTTTTGTAGGTTCTTCTTAGAAAGCTCCTTATAGGAAACTCAGGTAACCAACAAAAAAGTAGGTTTGGGTTCTTCAGGTATTCTTGCTGTTTTCATCCGTTGCTGTGGGCTTTGACTACGTGCCTGATTCTGATCAATCAATGTTTCCGGCACAGCACAAGCTGTCATGCGCATAAGAAAGTTGCCTCAGCCCTCAAGAAGGGCCTACCAGTTCTTCACAGGAATCTAATGTGGAAATCAGAGCCCCACATCCTCCACTTGCAGAACCTCGAATTCTGTAGCAAGAAAGGGAGGTCAAGGGTGTTGCGGGAAGGTTTCGTCTAGCGGTAGTTACATGGTCCCTTACCCCTTATATACCAATACAAAGTACCCAGACATCAGAACCCTTTAAAGGAGGTTCGGGACCATATTAAGGGCCCATGAAACTACCCTCAGATTTAGGGTTTTTGGGATTGGCCTGCGCTGAAACTCCTCCTGGGACATGCCCGAGACGTCTGCACCTGCAACCCAAGTTTTCGCTCCGAAAGCGAGACTCCTAGAAAGAATGATCCTTTAGTTGGAGAAACCCTGAACCCTAAACCCGAAACCCTAAACCCCAAACCCTAAATCCTAAACCCTGAACCAAGTAGAACGCTCGTTTAGCGAACCTGCCTAGAACACGGCGGCTGCCCTGCTGCGTGCTCCTTGGAGATCGCAGAGGACGCCAAGACCGCCGCTGGGAGCGAAAGGTTGTAAGGCAGGTTTGGGTTTAGGGTTTATAGGGTTCATAGGGATCATAGAGTTCATAGGGTTCATAAGGTTTAGGGTTTCGGGTTTAGGGTTTAGGGATTAGGGCTAGGGTTTGCGGTTTCCGAGGATTGCTCGGTGCCAACACACCTGCGCTACGAGAAGGACCTGGCCGCGATACAGAAGCTGCCCCTTGGCCCCTGCCACCTGAAAGGCCGTAGATTCCAAAGAAGGCCCAAAGCCGATTCAATTTAGCGTTTAGGGTTTAGGGTTTAGGGTTTAGGGTTTAGGGTTTAGGGTTTAGGGTTTAGGGGGGGACATGTTGCAGTGTCCCTCCGTGGGTTTATGGAAAAGCCATGTTTTGTGAATCGTGTTTTCAGAGGTTGGACGGAGTCTTTAGTGCCAGCCGCATCCGACTAAGCCTTGGAAGAATGCTGATTTCCCTTGCCAGGCTGAATAGGCATTTTCTGTCGACGGCTTGAATAGAGTTTAGGGCTCGGGATTTAGGGTTTTAACCTAAACCCGAATCCTAAACGTAGAGGGCCCTAAGCGGAGCCTACATGCCCCATGAAAATTTGGTGTTCGTGTCGGCTGTGCTTGGGGCAATGTCGCTCAGGTTAGAACCTCACAAGTACACCCACCCCGAGGAGAAGTGCCACAAAGCTGTGCCGCACGAAGAGTGCCCTTCGGCAGACAGGAGCCACGCCTACAAGCAACCCTATTCCAGACCAAACCAGCCTACTAAAACCCTAAACCTCGACTCCCCTACAACCCTAAGCCCCGAAAACCCCTCAAACCTCTAGAGCCCTAAACCCCTAGACCCCTGACGCCCCTCAAATTTCTAAAGCCCCAAACTTTGCCCCCTAAGCCTCAAAGAGAGTTTCGGAGGGGCCGGGTGCGCCCAGGCTGGTACGCCACCAAATGGCTCATGGAGGAGGGCCGATTCAAGACGAAAGACTTCCCGGAGGCTGTGCAAAACCCCTCAAAAACTCAAAAACCCTAAAACTCTAACGCCCTAAACCCTAAACCCTAAATAGGTAGATCCCTCAAACCCTAGACCCCTCAAGCCCTACGAAGCCGTTGTGCAGATTACGGCCGACTCCACGTGGGATGAAGGGCAACTGGCCCTCTGGCGTCGGGCCCGAAACAACTGCAAGAAGCCCTGCATGGAGGCTTGGCAGGAGTTTAGGGTTTAGGGTTTAGGGTTTAGGGTTTAGGGTTAGGGTTTAGGGTTTAGGGTTTAGGGTTTAGGGTTTAGGGTTTAGGGTGTAGGGTGTAGGGTTTAGGGTTTAGGGTTTAGGGTTTAGGGCAAAGTTCAGACTTTAGGCTTTAGGATTTAGGGTTTAGGGTTCCCAGAGCTCAGGAGCATGTCGGGGGCTTAGATCCTCGGAAGCCCCCCAAAACCCGAAAGTGGATTCAGTCAATTCCCCTACTGGTTAATTTTGCTTCAGAACCCCTAGGACCCAGTAGTGCCCTTATTCCCTTTTTTGGGGGTTTAGGTTCCCTTATAAAAACTTTAAGCAAAAAAGGGCACCCTTTTTAAGCCTAGGTTACTGGGCAGCCTAGACCCCCAAAAACGGGATTGTTATTTTCTATTCTTGGGTGGCTCTTACGCAAATATCTGCCCCGCACCTCCTGAAGAGTCCTCAAGGGCGCCCGAGAGCTTTCTTTCGGCCGTTTGCCTTTAAATGGTTTGCAGGGCTTGGGGCCTGAATAACTAGAAGAGGTGTTTCCTATTTTTTTTGGGTGGCGGGGGGGGGGGGAAAGGGGTGGGAATATTGTAGTAGAATAGTATATAGAGACCATAAAAAACTACTCATGCTTCCGACTCCTACATTGTAGGGTTTTAGGGCATATTTCGAGGAGCGGTATCAGGCCCTCTTTCCCTTCTTGGAGGGTGTAGGATCCCTTATAGAAACCAACAAAAAGTGCACCCATTTTATTCCTAGGTTACCCTAAACCCTAAACCCTAAAAGCCCAAAAACCCTTAAACTAATCCCGACTAAACCCTAAAACCCGAAAGCGCTCACACCCTAAACCCCAAATCGGGGTGCGTTTACAGTGAGTTGGGCTCTGGGTGCCTGCCTTCATCCCCTCCCCCAATATTAAACACCCCCTACCCCCTAATGTTAAATACCCCCCCCCCCCCATTTACAGTTAGATTATAGTATATTCGAGGTTTTTACCCTAAACCCTAAACCCTAAACCCTAAACTCTAAACCCTCAATGGGAGGGGGAGGGCTTCATATTCGGGGGAGAGGGGAGGGGATGATGCTGCGCCTCGCCAAGGCAAATGAGAGAGACTCCAGGGCGAGAAAGGCGCCCGATGTGAAGAAGCCGAAGATGGGAGCCGAGGCAGGGATTTAGGGTTTAGGGTTTTGGGTTGAGGGTAGGGCTTAGGGTTAGGGTTTAGGGTTTGGGGTTTGGGGTTTGGGGTTTGGGGTTTGGGGTTTGGGGTTTAGGGGGGGGTGTACCAAGGGCACATCTTCTCAAGAGGCACCGAAATTTGAGGTCAACCGCCGTGTGGACCCTACAAGCCCAAAAGCCTTAATGACTCAAATATCCTCTCAAGCCCCCCAACAATCCCACCTTCCTAACCCCTCCTAAAATTCAGCCACAAGAAGTCGCGCCGAATATTTTTCTCAGGAAGAGGAGTGCCACACAGCAGTGCCGGATGAAGACTGTTCTCTGGCATGCTCAAGGATTCTAAGGGATTCAGAAACGCAGGGGTTCAGGCTTTAGGGGTTTGCTGCGTAAGGGTGTAGGGTTCAGGGTTTAGGCTTCCAGGGCTTATTTAGGGCTTTGCAGGGTTTTGGTTTTCAGGGCGTAGGGTTCGAGGTTTAGGGTTTCATGGCCTGGCGCTATGGGGCGCAGGGAAAGCACGTCGCGAGTTTTTCAAGCTGAGGCTTCTGGGCCACCAAGTGGCTCATGGACGAAGGCAGAATCAAGCATCCGGATGCCTACCCCGAGGCGCGGCGCCCAGAATGAGGGTTTCGGGTATGGGGTTTATAGGGTTTATAGGGTTTGCAGGGTTTGCAGGGTTTATCGGGTTTATAGGGTTTATAGGGTTTATAGGGTTTATAGGGTTCAGGGTTTAGGGCTTTGCGTCTCCAAGACTGTCCCCTGGCACCCCCTCCTGCCCTGGTTGTTATAGTACAAGCTACCCAAAATACCCCTTTAGATTGGATGCTAGACTGAAAAGATTTGGACCGAAAATCCCTGAACTCCAAATCAATAATCCCAGTATCCCAAACACCCCAAATGCCCCAATACCCTAAACCCTAAACCCTAAACCCTAAACCCTAAACCCCTAACCCCTAATACCCTGAACCTGCTTTTGTATGCCCAAAGTACCGTGCGCCGACTCGGGGGTTACTACTGCTCCAGATCTTCTCAGAGTCTTGCGAAGTGGCCCAGGTTACAGCCGAGTCCACCTGGGAAGATGCCCAGCGCGCACTGTGGAAGAGCGGCAAGAACGAGTGTAAGAAGCCCTGCAAAGAAGCGACTTGGCAGTCCAATGAGTTTAATGAGTTTTGGGCTTGGGCTTAGGGGCCTTAGGGCCTTAGGGGTTTCTGTGAGAGCTCCTGAGGCTGGATGTGGTAGTCATCTCGCATGTGAGCCGCATGTGCTTATATATTTCAAATTTGGACAAGCAATCCAGGAACCTGAAGAGATCTCTGGCAAAGCCGGTACAGCGAAGAAAGCCGAAGGGAAGGAGGCAGGGCTGCCATGACACTCGAAGCTCGTTTGGCCATGCAGAAGTTGTTTTCCAGGAAGAATGCCACACTTCAGTGCCGCATGAGGATTGCTTCCTGGCATGCAGAAGCCGCTGATGCCGGGACGAACTTGCACAAATCTCGCTCGAACTGAGGCTACCATGCCACCAAGTGGTTGATGGACGAAGGCAGAATCAAACATCCAGATGCATACCCGGACGCGCGGCACCCAGAAATATTCGGGCTAGTGCCGTGAGGTCTTTATTTGTTCTTTTATCAGCTGCTTAAAGAGTAGTGCTCTCTCGTCAGGTTACAGCCGAGTCTTCCTGGGAAGATGCCCAGCACGCGCTGTGGAAGCGCGGAAAGAGTGGCTGCAAAAAGCCCTGCAACCATGCGACTTGGTGGCCGAAGTGCCTTCACCCGAATACAATCGGAATCGTACCAAGTATCACACTACAAGAAACAACAAAGAATCAAAAACAAACATGATAATGGGACTAGGAACAAGAAGCACACATCATAAGATGAACCATAAGAACCATCATACAAAATAGTCTCAGAGTAGCTATATCCGAATTATCCTGGATCATCATCAGCTTACACTCAGCAGACTTGTAAACAACGAGCTTGAAACACCCAAGGAATCCGAGACAGAGACCGAAGAGGTTGACCAGGCGCCGGGGCCGAGCTCTTCGCTGTTTGCCCTCACTGAATACCCTGAAGCCAAAACCCTACACCCTACACCCTAAACCCTACACCCTACACCCTACACCCTAAACCCTAAACCCTAAACCCTAAACCCTAAACCCTAAACCCTAAACCCTAAACCCTAAACCCTAAACCCTAGCCCTAGACCCTAAACCATAAAACCCTTTAGCGCATCGGGCATTGGAGTGCTTCCATGACCTCAGGAAGAGTGCCACAACGCTGTGCCGCACGAGGATTGCCCCCCGGTATGGCCTTTAACGTGTCCAAAAGGGAGGAGCTTGAAGTGAACTGGGGGTTTAGGGTTTAGGGTTTAGGGTTTAGGGTTTAGGGTTTAGGGTTTAGGGTTTAATTAGGGTTTAGGGTTTAGGGTTTAGGGTTTGGGGTTTAGGGTTTAGGGTTTAGGGTTTAGGGTTTAGGGTTTCATCACTCAGCCAATCCCGAAACCATGTGCAAGGTCTGTGGCATACAAGCTTCTGCAAGCCCTCTGTATGCCCTAAATGACCCCATGTGAGACCTGCCCGATAGCCCTAAGGCTACTACGGCACGAAATGGCTGATGGAAGAAGGCATACAAAAGAATCCAGAGTGGTTCCCCGAGGCCGGGAGTCCTCAGGGTTTAGGGTTTAGGGTTTATAGGGTTTAGGGTTTAGGGTTTAGGGTTTAGGGTTTAGGGTTTAGGGTTTAGGGTTTAGGGTTTAGGGTTTAGGGTTTAAAGCAGGGCTCTTCCCTTGAGCGAGCCCCGGCTTGTAGGGGCGGGCTTTGAGGCTTTGCGGCGTGTTAGCGGTTAAGGGCTCTTCGTGGGACTTAAGTGGCTATAAGAGATTTAGGGACGAATATAGCCGCAAATTTTGGGGTTGGGGTCTGGCATGCTTCAAGAAATGAAGCGCCTCACCTCCACAGGATATCCAAAGAAAGAGGCCCTGGACCCTAAGAAACCGAAAGCCCCTGAAAGCCCCCCCCAAAAAAAATCACCCCCCCCTAAAACCTGCATAACCCCAGAAACCTCTCAAAACCCCCCAAAGGGCCCCCCTGAACCCTAAACCCTAAACCCCCTTAAATCCCCTTAAGCCCCGCCTTAAACCCCCTTTAAACCCTCAGCCCCCCCTAAGTTTCGCACGGCCAATGCCGCAGATCACGCCCGACTCGCCCTGGGCCGACGCGCAGAAGGCGCTCTGGAAGCGCGGGAAGAATGGCTGCATGAAGCCCTGCCCAGTCACGAAGTAGCCGCGGGTTTATAGGGTTAGGGTTTGGGGTTTAGGGGTTGCAGGGATTAGGGGTTTAGGATTTGAGGGTGGTTGAGGGGTTGATGGTGGATCGGCTTTAGGGGTGGATGCCTACTGGTGCTTAGGGCGGTGGGCTTAGGGCTCACAAGTCTCGATGTCTTTCAGGCCTCTTTAAGGCCGGAAGCATCGATATCACACACGACCGGCGCCAGAGACTTAGGGCCATGCTCAGGGAGGCCACCTGCTCAAAGAGCAGGCCGCCTCGCGGCCGCGTGGAATCTTGGGGGTTGCGGAGTTTCCAGGCTTCAAGGTTCCAGGGTCAGAAGGGTGAATGGAACTCTTGAGGGGGTTTATAGAAATTGTATAGGGTTTGGGTCCCAAAAAGTTTTGACCGAAACGTTTTGAGCGAAAATTTTGACCGGAACGCTTTCCTTTTGGAACCTACTTTTAGTTTTTTGTGCAGCGGGAAGGGGTCGAGGGTAGGGGAGGGGTTCATTGAGACACTTGGCTAATGTGGCTAGGCAATTCCATCAAGCCATCATGTGTTGGATGACTACTGGACGCCGCTGCATTCTGGCAGAGCAATGTTGCACATGGCTTTCACCAGCCATGTACCATGTGTGACAGAACGCACAGTTCTCTTCACACAATGCACATACTTATAAAGAGAAGGCCTTTTGGGGATGGGTTCCAAGGGGTTCTGGGAGGAGGGGGTGCCCCAGAGATTGAGCAAATTGGCCGCTCGATGCGTTTTGAATGAATAACTTTGCTCAAACTCTGCTTGTCAGGTGTTTAGACAAATAACTTGACACCAACACAAATGTCAGGAAATTCGCTCGGCTCTCAAACAACATGAGTTTTGGGCACCAAAACAAATGTCAGGAAATTCGCACGGATCACAAACAACATGAGTTTTGGGCACCAAAACAAACGTCAGGAATTTCACTCGGGTCTCTAACAAGAGTTTTTGGGCACCAAAACAGTTGTCAGGAAATTCGCTCGGCTCTCTCACCAAAATCACCATCAGGAAATTCGCTCGGCTCTCTTGCAACATGAGTTTTGGGCACCAAAACAAACGTCAGGGAATTCGCTCGGCTCTCAAGCAACATGAGGTTTGGGCAGCAAAACAAATGTCAGGGAATTCGCTCGGCTTAACAAACAACATGAGTTTTGGGCACCAGCTGGCCTCTCGAACAGCATGTAATTTTTGGGCAACAAAACAAACGTCAGGAAATTCGCTCGGCTCTCTAACAGCATGTGTATTGGGCAGCAAAACAAACGTCAGGAAATTCGCTCGGCTCTTTAACAACATGAGTTGCTGGCAGCAAAACAAACGTCGGAAAATTCGCTCGGCGGCACCAACACAAACGTCGTCAAATTCGCTCGGCTCTCGAACAACATGAGTTTTGGGCACCACAACAAATGTCAGGCCGAACCGTTTCTGGCAAAACTTTTCGGGGTCGGGGGTTCCTGAGAGGAGCTTCTTCCCTGAAGGGTTTCTGGAAACCCTTCGGGGGAGGGGGTGGGGATCTCGGGTCTGGTATTTAGGGAATCTGAGAATCTAGGGGGATCTGGAAAAAGCAGATGTGGGCAGGGGGGGAGCGAGGACAGAAACTGTGTAGGGTTCGGGTCCTGAAAGTGTTGACCCTAAACCCTAAGCCCTAAACCCTAAACCCTAAACTTTTCTCAGCCATTTGGGGTGCTTTTGGGGGCCTCTGGAAGCCTTTTGGGGGATCTCCCGGAGGCTTTTTGGTGCCTCCCGGGCCCTTTAGCTGCGGCATTTTTGAAGCCTTATGGGGGTCCCCCGGTGTATATTTTTGTGGCCTGCAGCGTGCTTAGGGTTTCGGGCTGAGAGCAGAATTACCCGATATTTATGAATAAGAACTATATGCTGCGGTGTTGCGGACTTCTGCTCAAAGAGTTTTGGGGTTTGCAGGGTTTTTCGGGTTCAGAAGAGATGCGCGCGGTGGCTGTGAATGGTCAGTCCCGGCTTAGCCCAAAGAATGGGCGGATGGTGCCGCGTTTGCCGGTTCATCGCCGCCCGCGACTCTCGCGCGTCGACAAAAAGGTGGGCATGTCGACTCTGCGCCTAGTGGGTCATAGGGGTTTAGGGTTTCAGGGGCTTGGCGGTTTTGAACCGTAAAACCCTAAGCCCTCAGGTTTAGGTGCCATAGTCTACTCACGCCCTAAAACCGTGAACCTAAGCCTTTTTGGGTTAGGGGTATCAGGCCTCGGGTAGACATTGCCTCCTAAGACCACATAGCCTCCTAAGACCAATGGACGATGGGACTGCTAGAAACGCAGCAAAACATGAATCCCAACCCCAGGAAGCCTCAAAACCCCTTTGATTCCTCAATCCCCTGAACTCTCAAAGCTTAGACCCCTAAACCCTGAATACACTCATACCCCTAAAAACCCAAACCCCAAGCCCACAACCCTTGAACCCTATCACCAAACCCTCAAAACCCTAAAGCCCTAGTACTTTAAAACCCTAAAGCCCTGAGCCTAAACCCCTAAACCCCTAAAACCCAAAAACCTTAAAGCCTTAAAACCCCCGAAAACCCTAAACCCCTAAACCCTAACCCTAAACCCAAAACCCTAAACCCCTCAACCATAAACATGCAGCTCCGCCGACAGCCGGGGGGGGGGGGGGGGGGGGGGGGAGCTCTCGGGCCAGCTCCGCGGCTCGCGTATATTGTGTGCAGGCGCCACGCTCCTCCGGACCTAAGAAGGGGGGAGTAAAGGGTTTAGGGTTTAGGGTTTAGGGCCGTTTAGGGTTTAGGGTTTAGGGTTTAAGGGATTTGCTGCCAGCGCCCAATGTTGCCCGAGCTCTGAAGACCAAACTATGACTAGAAGGGTTGAGGGTTTAGTGTTTAGGGACCCTGGTCTTAGCGCTTGAGTTTACAGGGTTCAGGCTGAGGGTTGTACCCTAAACCCTAAACCCGAAACCCTAAACGCTGCAGGGTTTAGGGTTTAGGGGTCAGGGGTTGGGGGTTAGGGTTTGGGATTCGGTCGTGTTGTCCCCAGAGATTCGCTGTGGCTGTTCGCGGCATCGACCACAGACGGTGACGATGACCGACCTTAACAGCCTTTGGCACTCCTACCAAGCTCTACTTAGGGTTTAGGGTTTAGGGTTTAAGGTTAGTGTTTAGGGTTTAGGGTTTAGGGCTTAGGGCTTAGGGTTTAGGGTTTAGGGTTTAGGGTTACGTTTCAGGACCTTAAAGTTCTAAAAGCCCAAACCCCCCCCCCCCCCCAAACTCGACTCCTGCCAATAAAAGCAAACTAAGCTCCACCAAACCTTACCCCAAACCATTGCGAGGGAAGGTGGGAACACCGAACCCTCAAAGCTTAAAGCGTGCGACTTCTCACGGCTCTGCAGAGCAAAGCAGGTGGCCCTTCGATCGCATTGGCGCTCGAGTGCAGCAGGGCCCTTGGTTGGGTTTCGGACGTGAGCCCTAAACCCCAAACTCTAAACCTAGGCCCTAGGGCCCAGAGCAGGCCCTTATTGCTTGATTTATATAAGGGGCCGTTGAACCAAGAAGGGCACCCTTTTTTGTTCCTAGGCGACTCTTGGGTCTAGGAATTATACCCTGGAAACTCTACGACACGCCTTGCTGCCGAACTAGGAACTTGAATGCTCAGGCAGCTTTCGTTGAAAGGCCAGGAGTCAAACCTTGCAGTCATGGCCGCTGCAACTCGCCCGGTAGTTCGAGTCAAGACCAGCACCGGCGCTTAAACACCTAAGTCAAATGAACTCGGGCTAGGAGTTCACATTCCCGGCCTCCCCTATATCAGCACCACACCAGCTGGATTCCAATTAGGGTGCCGCAGCCGCAGGCAGCACGCTGAAAAAGTGGAGAAGTTCATGTGCGTATCCAAAAGGTGTGCAACTTCCGCAACGAGTGAGTCTACATAAAAACTCCGCTGTTCTTCAATGCGACTAGGCATCGCAACGATCTAGCCATTGGTCCTTCGATGGCTGAGGCTTCCTTCGCTGCCATCACGAATGCAAATGTAGGCACAGAAGATGAGCCGAATAAGCTTGGGAAGGCCATAAGCTACGATGGTGACATGAATCATGAAAACAACGCGGACGACGGCCGCGGTGTGGACCTAGAGAGCAGCAGTCTTGACCAGCTGGCCCCCGGACGAACCAGAGGAAGGCTTTCGCTGGCCAGACTGCTGCAAAGGGCTTCGTCAAAGAGTCGGGCTGTCGCTAGCCTTTCCAGAGCCTCCCGACTGCCCAGTGAGAGGAGTGTGGGAGACGCTTTGCCCAACAAACCTTGCTGGGCTGTCGCCCTTTACATGTTCTTCTTTCCTTCTTTGGCTATGTTCGTGGTTGGACGAGTATTGCCAGGTCAGTGGGTAAGTCGCAATGGAAAGTCGCACCTGAGTTGCCTGGGCCTTGGAAGCATGCTCCTCATGTTCCTCATCCCCTACCTCACGGTGGCGACACTGCTCGAGCACATGGCCCAGAGGCAGAACGAGGAGGAGACGTACATCGAGAAGCTCAAAATACCTGAGGTCAAGGAAGTATGGGGAGATCCCCCGCCCCTGACGGATCTGTGGAGGCGTCTACGAGTTTACAGGATCTGCGCGCGTGCCCTGCTGAACATCTTCTTGTTCTCCTATGCTCTCGCCTTTCTGTCAGCGCGAAATCCCGATGAGCCTCTGAATCTGACGAAGCATGTGCTCGCCTGGCTTGAGTTCTTTGGCATCTGGGCCATTACCCTCCTCTTTTTGCTGAGGCCTGTGGTGGTTGCAAACGCCGCATTTCTAGAGCTGTCTGGCTTCCCACTGCACAGGGCACACATGATCCGAGCCTTAGCCAACTTCTCAGCGCTGGCGCTGCTGCAACGAGCCAACCCACAGCTGTGCTTTGACAGGATATCACACGCGCGCGCGGCAATGCAGCAGTCCTTCTTGCAGAGGTGGTCTCATCCCTTTTCGGTGCTGCGCTGGGTGTCGCTGCAATGGTGTGCAAGATCAGCACCACGGCCTTCATTGCAAACTCCTTCTTTTGGGAGTGGGACGCGCTCCAGTGGCTGACTCTAGCAAGGCTGCTGAACAACATTGCAGGCTTGATACGGATCGATGAGTTGCGGATGGAGACCCGGCGCCTACTTGGCAAGGTGCTTTCCTGTTTCACAAGAATACGTCGCTGCCAGACCCGACCTCATCCCCAAACAACCCCGTCCAACCTCTCAGAACCAAGTTTGCTTTGACTTAGAGCCTACTCGTTAAGTACTCCATTTCTATGATTGCTCCCTCAACCCTAAACCCTAAACCCTAAAAGAGGTCATTGGCATTGTAAAAAAACGCTAAACCCTAAACCCTAAACACTAAACCCTAAACCCTAAACCCTAAACCCTGCAAATTCTCATCCCTGAACAAAGGAGACTGCAGCAAGGCAGTACTGTCATGTCCAGCTTGCAACGGCTACGGACAAGCTTGGCCAGAGAATGGACAGGATTTTCCACACGTTCTGCAAAAGGCGTTGAGCCAGGCCTATGGGGCCTACCCTGGGGGTTTCTTCTGGCTATCCATGACTTTCCAAGATGTGATGAATCTTGCAAACCACCATAGAGGCCATGTCAGGGGCAGTGAGTAAGCGTGAGGCCTTAGAGGTCCAATCACCGCAAGACACGGAGTAATGGGAGCAACCCGGAACTGGTGGGGCTCCCGTCGGCAAAGAACGTGACCGCGAATGATTGTCTGCCTCTTTCTTAAGGGTCCGTATGTGCTTTGTTTTCAAAGGTTCAGTTCAAGAGTCCACACTGACGCTTTCCTGAGCACCATGCCAAAGGCATTTGCGCTCGCAAGTCTTTCTTTCGCGCAGCGCTGGCCATTGATGAGCTGCAGTCGCCTGATCCGACTGCAATAGCTTGGGAACGATTGGCTGCAAGGGGTGCTTCCAGCGGTAAGATGCATTGCAAAAAAGCTGTAGCCTCACATCTCCGGACTGCCTTGTTACACGGACAGCATTGTGGCCAAAGTCGGATGCACCCTGGGTGGAAGCTGAAAGACACGAGCGCTTTCGGTGCGCCCGAGGCGAAAAGCCGAGGCCATGTTGAACAAGCCACGAAGGTAACCATTTAACTATTATCATCCCTCTTATCACCTTAAGTTCCCTAGGCTACAGGACAACTAAGGAATAGCATCCTAAAGCGCCGAACCTGGTGCCCTCATGGCTTGTTTTTGCGAGGCCGTCGACCTCCGAATAGGAGGGAATCTCGAACAGAGTCCTGTCATGCACAGCATTGAGTTCCTTAGCAGCACATCGGTTATTTGAGTCTACAGGCCGCAGCTACGGAAAAAAATATCTCAGAGAGGGACCGCACCCACATGTGGTGAGAGTGGATTCTTTGGAGTATTCATGCGATCTTAGGTACGGTCCCGTATGCATTCCGCAAGCCATGGGGGTAAACTGGCAAGGGAAGCCTGGCAGAATCAGAAGCACCAGGATGTCAGTACCAACATCCACTTGAGAACATAAGCAGTCATGTAATCTGACGGCTGGGCCATCCTCAGCGCAGAGATTCTGAGCATGTAGCTGCGTCGTTCTGGACGTGTGGTGGTGGTGGTCTTCTCAAGCTGTCGTACGCAAAGTTTCTTTCGGACTGATTCGTGACGATTCTCGCCTCAGGCTGCAGTGCTCAGGCGCTCTCCGGCCAGGAACTGAATGGGAGTTTCAGCTTGATCTTTCGATTTTCCGGATTGTGGATTTGGGGTGTGTGTTCGCCAACTTGTCTTGGGGAGTGCTCTCTGGCTAAGCGTCCAGGGTTTCGTGGATAGGGTTGGTTTGGCATGGTTCGGGTGTAGGAACTCGTTATAGGGACGGGTTATGCAGTTATGCGTTGAGACTTTGGATCCCACATGCTCGCTTCTTCAAACACCAACAAACCGCCTTCCGATACCCTCACTGTCCCCCGAAAAACTCGACACTCTGAACCCAAAGCTCCAAAATCATCGCCAAACCCAAGAATTCAGCAGAACTGAAACTCAAACCCCTTATGTATAGACCTCACCCGACTAATGAAGGCCACAGGGTGGAACCCCCCGCCGCAGTGAAGCAGAGAGGCGCGGCGAGGGAAGGAGGAGCTTTGTCTGGGAGCTTCTGAAGTCGTGGTTCAGGGTTTAGGGTTTAGGGTTTAGGGTTTAGGGTTTAGGGTTTAGGGTTTAGGGTTTAGGGTTTAGGGTTTAGGGTCTAGTGTTTAGGGTTTAGGGTTTAGGGTTTAGGCTTGCTGGTTCTGAGAAGATCCTGTTTTGGACCTTTTTTTCCCGGGATGTAGAATGGGGGCATCCAAACCTCTACAAGACCCTGAGTCTCCATCTTTTCGCAAATTCCGGAAATTTGAACCCTCCACCGGCTGGCTCTTAATGAGGGAATGAGGCCCCCATACATTCCCTTTATAGGACTGACTAGGGTAACTCATTCCCTACTAAGAGCCAGCCAGTCAACTCGTATACCCGATAAGCTTCCGGAAGCTGTTCCATACATCGCTCTCAGCCCCAGGCTTCCCGAAGCGCTCTATGCAACCCAACGTTTGGGGTTTACGTTTTAGGGTTTAGGGTTTAGGGTTTTAGGGTTTAGGGTTTAGGGTTTAGGGTTATAAGTTTTAGGGTTTAGGGTTTAGGGTTTAGGGTTATATGTTTTAGGGTTTAGGGTTATAAGTTTTAGGGTTTAGGGTTGAGGGTTTAGGGTTTAGGGTTTAGGGACCTCACGCCGATGAAAGGCGGCCGCTGGAGGCGGAAGCCCTGGGGCCTGTCCAGCCGTGGCGATGTAGGCGCGGGGAGAGGGGGGGGGGGGGGGGGGGGGGGAAATCCTAAAAATTGTCCCTACTGGCTGGTTCTTAGTAGGACTGAGGTACCCTACATAATCCCCCAAGGCCCATACATAGGGTCCTAAATCCCTCATTGCCGACGAAGAACCAGGCGACCTGAGCCTAAGAAATGTTCTTAGCCTGGAGGCCGTGGCGGATGACGATGTTCAGGCCAAGGGGGGCTTGCTCTGGGCTTCTGTGGTGACCTGGTGTGCAGTTGCCTTAAGGATTATCATGTAAGGATCCGTTTCAAATAGCTTCTACGTTCAGGTTCATGCCTAGATTGCCCAAAATGAATGCTTCCCAAACCTCCCCATGCCTGGATCTTTGCCGAGTCGTAGCTAGGTAGGACATTGGGACTTTGTGTTTTTTCCCTTTTTGTGCCTAAGAGGATCGTATTGAGGAATACTACTTAAGGGGCTTTAAGGGCCATCCGAGCTAGTTTGTGTGAGTCCCCACTTGGCTCCTTGTGCATGCGGTGTACATCGATTCTGTGATGCTTCGCGGCTTTGATCTCAAGTCAGGGCGTATGAAGTCCGTGCGCCCCCTGAAAACAAACCGAACATGTCTTCATGATGGGGCGTTTGCTTCGCTTGCTCCCTGGGCTGTGCCTGGGCCTGCTCGCTGATGGAACGGCCAAGGCCTGTGTGGATGATGCAGTTTGTGGGAGCACCAGCTGGCTTCAGGAAACGTACACGCTGGGCTCCAGGCTTGCGACAGAGTCCGAGTCCAAGCAGGCGGGGCCACTGACGGACGAGCTCTATGCAGAAGGCTTCTCAGCCGTGACGGTCCCCATCGGCCCCGGCGTGATCCTGTCGATTGTCGTCTTCATCCTGCTCCTTACAGCCCACGAAGCCTTTGTGGCTGCTGGGGCAAAGCCCCTGCTGGCAAACCACGAGAAGCCCAACAGCATACCGTTGCAATGCACGTTTGCGATATACTGGCTTCTCATGATGGTGAACCTTTCAATGCTTGTGCCGGTGTCTCTGGATTACGCGCTGGCTATGGGACAGTCCGCTACTGCCAGTGGAGTTTTCCTCAGTGCTCCCACAGTATTCGCACTGCTTGGCTCGATGCTGGGGAAACCCCTCACAAGCGAAGTGAACTGGGACCAGCCGTTCGCCCGACATTTGTACCTGGGCTGCCAGGGGTTAGCCTTCTCTGGCAACTTGATCCTGGCATTCTTGATGCAAGCGGCCTCCCACTGGAACGATGCGACGAGGAAGACGTGCTTCTGGTGCTTCCTCCTTGTAAACGGCGCAAACCAGTTCTTTCAGATCCTCCCGAGCATAGGCTTGCAAACCATGTGGAATATCGTCACGCCCAACAGCCAGAAGACGCTCTGGAGCATGATCACCGTCGCATGTCGGAACTCCGGCTTCATCGTCGGTCCGGTGTGCTTCGCGGCCCTCAGCTTTACTGTGCGGAGGGGGCGGGACATTTCTCCGATCAGCATGATGGGCTGGTCCTTCGTTGGGCTCGCGATGTTTCAAGCCTTGGTGCCTACCCAGAATGGGCACTTATTCCCTGTTTGGGGAGTTTGCAGGCTTTTGGCTTCCTTCAAACCTACGTTATCAGCGTTCAAGAATAAGCAAAACTTCTTTTTCTACAGAACTCTGTGGCTGAGGTGCTGACGACCGCGTCCCTTTGCTTACCGACGGTGGTCACTCCCGTGGAGGATGGAAAAGCTGCGACGGAGGATCAAGAAGTGGAGCTGAGCCCGGAGGAACATATGGGGGTTTACGAAAATAGGGGAGCCAATGCACCCCCCAAATAGTAGCATTCCCTCATAATAAGCACGCTAATAAGGTACCCTCGCAAACTTTCATATCGTGACATCTCAAGACACCCAGAATGGGGCAGAAGCCTCACGTAGATCTGCTCTAGAAACTTGCTGGCTTACTTCAGCTGGTAGCCCCTGCGCCCTAAGAACCCAAAAAACCTTACGAAGGGATAATCGCATCGGAGACAACGATAGCAAGAAGTAGCTTTGGGGTTCTTAGCAGTGCTTCGTGATTGACCCCCGGCAAAGTGCAGGACCTCCAGCCAGAGTCGCGGCAGGACATTGTGAGGAACATCATCGCCTACAGCTATGAGCGGCCCTTCACCGTCGCCGCCATCGAGGTCTCCACGATGATGCTCTTGGAAGTGCAGTATGGATGGTCGGCGGAGTTCTGCGGGGCTTCCTTCATGTCGGTGGGCGCGGCCACTATGGCCGCAACCATCATCTCCACCGTCGTGGTGAGCAGGAAGTGGATCAGAGAATCCTGGCTCTTCCTGGGCTCCACCTTAGTCTCCCTCTCTGGCGTCTTCCTGCTCTTTGACTGGCCGTTTTATGGGGTTTCGGGGGGTGGGTTCTTGCTCTTAGCTGACTCGTTGGTCTACGCCTTCTCGGGCATCTCCATGGGCATCGCCCAGGGCTGGGCTACCCGCGCAGCCATGAAGGGCACGACCTACGACATCCAGACCTTCCGGGTGCAGAATCTTTGCAGTGAGCTTAATAATTCTGAGGCACACTTGTTCTCGTATATTCCGAGCCAATACCCTGAGCCCTACGCACCTAAGAGATGCGCTTCAGGAACATTGCTGGGGTCCAGATCAGCAGGTTCCTGGCCCCCATCTTCACCCGCTTTGTCCTGGATTTCGGCGGCCGGAACCTCTACGCCCTGGTTCAGCTGATCCTTAGTAACTGAATGATTATGCACTTCACACTTTTTGGGATACGATAGTCCCCTATAGAACGAAAAGTGCACACTTTTTTGGGGATGAGCTCAGCAAGTAAGGGTCATGTGCACCATGGGAGCTTACACGGTTTGGCGCACCGTCTCCCTGGTCTGGCAGGGTGCGAGGCACGGCCAGGAAGCCAAGAAGAATGCGAACAACAACGAGCCTACACCGAACACTTGCCAGGGGAAGGAGAGGGATGAGAGTACTTAGGACATGAGGGGAAAAGCGTAGAGATCTCTTCCCGTTTCACAGCAGCTTCCGACTCTGACTCAGAGGCCACAAGTGTCCACAGGTCTTGGAAGGAAGCTGATGGGGCCGGAAAAGAAGCTTGTAAGCAACCCTACGCTGTTTGAGCTTTGAGGTCCCCAGGCTTGGGCTTCACCGTCCCTGGCTCTGGCAAGTGTAAAGTTCAGTGCAGGGTTTGAGGGAACCCTAAACCCTAAACCCTAAACCCTAAGCCCTAAACCCTAAACCCTAAGCTTTCAGGGTGCAAAACCCGTCGAACCATCAGTTGCCTAGCATGGAGGACCCAAGTTGGTGGAAGTCCGATGAGAAGGGCGGCGGCAAGGCAAAACCCTGAGGTGATGCCAGGGTGCAAGTCTTCGGGGGAGGGGATGAGAAGGGTTTGGGGTTTGGGGTGTAGGGTTTGGGTTTAGGGTTTAGGGTTTAGGGTTTAGGGTTTAGGGTCTCGGGTCTAGGGTCTAGGGTTTGGGGTTTGGGGTCTAGGGTTTAGGGTTTGGGGTCTAGGGTTTAGGGTTTAGGGTGCAACTGCCCCCCCCCCCCCCCCCCCCCCCCCCCCCCCCCCCCCCCCCCCCCTCCCCGCGCCTAACGGAGTAATTGCCAATAGCCACGAGAAAAAGCTTGCCTCGGTAGGTCGTCTGCGATCGCCTGGGAACTTTGCTGGTTTTGACAACTACAGGAGGCCAACTCAGCATCACTTTTTGCTTCCGTATTTTTGGGGTTTAGGGTTTGGGGTTTAGGGTTTAGGGTTTGGGGTTTAGGGTTTAGGGTTTAGGGTTTAGGATGATTGTAAGACATGCGAATGCTTCAGGGGGATGCAATGGAGCAGCAAAATGCAAAGTGCAATCCGACACCATCGCCATCCCCAGAGCCTCAACAAGTCACTGGCTGCGGACTCCATGCCCTTGGTACATTTGAGCTTCTTGTTCTCGCTCATAGGGTTTAAGCGGGTCTTGTGTAGAGGTACACCCTAAACCCTAAACCCTAAACCCTAAACCCTAAACCCTAAACCCTGTATTTGCACCGGAGGAATCATGTCACACTGGATAAACAAAAAGGGAGTAAATCGGGACCCTGGAGCTCACGCTTCGCTCAAAAAAGAAGGGTCAAGAAGGCTTAGGGTTCAGGGTTTAGGGTTTAGGGTTTAGGGTTTAGGGTTTAGGGTTTAGGGTTTAGGGTTTAGGGTTTAGGGTTTAGGGTTTAGGGATCTCCTGAAATTTTCGAGGCTCGAAACCTTCCACCCCCGGAAGTTGCTCCGGTGGCCCCCTCACCGAAGCCACAACCCAGCCCCGAGCACCAGAAACCCTAGACCCTCTAGGCCCTAGAACCCTGTGACCCTCAACCCCCTCAACGCGTCCAAACTCCAAGACCTCACGTCGAGGGCGGCCACTGGGCGAAGAAACCTTCGGCCTCTTCGTCCCGTGGCGATGTAGGCGCGCGGAGAGCGAGGGGAGGACCAGGGAGAATGAGATTGGGGAGCATCCTGAAGAAAAGCCCTCCAACCTGAGAACCTTCATTCTACCAAGCTTCCTACTCTGGAGGCCATGGCGGAAAACGATGTTCAGGCCAAGGGGATGTTACCGTGCATTCTGGTGCGCGATAGGATCATCATATAAGGACACGTTTTGGGATGCTCGCGCACACGCCCTGTATATGCCGGTGCTTTTGATGCTTTGTGGCTGTGATCTCTCAAGTCGAGGGGCACGAAGCCCATATGTGCCCCTGAAAAAAAACCGAACATGTCTTCACGATGAGGCGTTTGCTCCCCGGGCTGTGCCTGGGCCTGCTCGCTGATGGAAGGGCCGAGGCCTGTGTGGATGATGCAGTTTGTGGGAGTACCAGCTGGCTTCAGGAAACGTACACGCTGGGCTCCAGGCTTGCGACAGAGTCCGAGTCCAAGCAGGCGGGGCCACTGACGGACGAGCTCTATGCAGAAGGCTTCTCAGCCGTGACGGTCCCCATCGGCCCCGGCGTGATCCTGTCGATTGTCGTCTTTATCCTGCTCCTTACAGCCCACGAAGCCTTTGTGGCTGCTGGGGCAAAGCCCCTGCTGGCAAACCACGAGAAGCCCAACAGCATACCGTTGCAATGCACGTTCGCCATACACTGGCTTCTCCTGATGGTGAACCTTTCAATGCTTGTGCCGGTGTCTCTGGACTACGCGATGGCCATGGGACACTCTGCTACTGCCAGTGGACTTTTCCTCAGTGCGCCCACAGTGTTCGCACTGCTTGGCACGATGCTGGGGAAACCCCTCACAAGCGAAGTGAACTGGGACCAGGCATTCGCCCGACGTTTGTACCTCGGCTGCCAGGGGTTAGCCTTTGCTGGCAACTTGATCCTTGCATTCTTGATGCAAGCCGCCTCCCACTGGAACGATGCGACGAGGCAAACATGGTTCTGGTGCTTCCTCCTTGTAAACGGCGCAAACCAATTCTTTCAGCTCCTCCCGAGCGTAGGCTTCCAAACCATGTGGAACATCGTCACACCCAACAGCCAGAAGACGCTCTGGAGCATGACCACCATCGCCTGTCGGAATTCCGGCTTCATCGTAGGTCCGGTGTGCTTCGCGGCCCTCAGCTTCACGGTGCGGAGGGGGCGGGACATTTCTCCCATCAGCATGATGAGCTGGTCCTTCGTTGGCCTCGCGATGTTTCAAGCTTTGGCGCCGATGCAGAATTGGGACTTGTTCCCCTGTTCTGGGGTTTGTGTAAGTGTTAGCGACTTTTAGAGTATGTCTACAGGGATCCTTCAAGCCCACGTTGAGCAATGTTAAGCATAAATGGGGACCCTTTCTCCTTGGCCGCTCGTTGGCCGAGGTGCTGACGACCGCGTCGCTTTGCTTACCGACGGAGGTCACGCCTCTGGAGGAGGATGGAAAAGCTGCGAAGGAGGATCAAGACATGGAGCTGAGCCCGGAGGCACTACTGTGACATCTCAAGATGACACCCCCCCCCCCCCCCCCCCAAGAATGGTGCTCCACCCGACAGGCCCTGTAGCCCCAGTCCCTGGTGCTCCCTTGCAGGATCTCCCACCAGAGTCGCGACAGGAGCTTGTGAAGAACGCCATCGTGTACTCCTGTGAGCGGCCCTTCACCGCCGCCGCGGTCGAGGTCTCCACAATGATGCTCTTGGAAGTGCAATATGGATGGTCGGCGGAGTTCTGCGGGGCTTCCTTCATGTCGGTCGGCGCGGCTACTCTGGCCTCCACCATCATCTGCACCGTTGCGGTGAGCAGGAAGTGGATCAGAGAATCCTGGCTCTTCCTGGGCTCCACCTTAGTCTCCCTCTCTGGCGTCTTCCTGCTCTTCGACTGGTCGTTTTACGGGGCTTCTGGGGGTGGGTTCCTGCTCTTAGCTGACTCGTTGGTCTACGCCTTCTCGGGCGTCTCCATGGGCATCGCCCAGGGCTGGGCTACCCGGGCAACCATGAAGGGCACGAGTTACGACATCCAGACTTACCGGGTGCAGAATCTCTTATACAGTGAAAGTAACATTCCCAAATTTTTCCAGATTTGAGAGAGCCAATTCCCGAAGCCCAACGCGCCCAAGAGTGAATTCGCAGTCTGTAAGGAGCATCGCTGCAGGCTTGCTCAGCAGGTTCCTAGCCCCCATCTTCACCCGCTTTATCCTGGATTTCGGCGGCCGGAACCTCTACGCCCTGGCTCAGGTGATCCTTAGTAGCTGAATGAGAACACTTTGCACTTCTTCGGGATACTCCACCCCCCTATAGAACTCAAATCGTGCACTTTTTTTTGGGTAGGGGCTTATGAGCTCAGCAAGTAAGGGTCATGTGCACCATGGGATCTTACACGGTTTGGCGCACCGTCTCCCTGGTCTGGCAGGGTGCGAGGCACGGCCAGGAGGAATCCAAGAAGAACGCGAACAACAACGAGCCGACACCGAACACTTACCAAGAGAAGGAGAGGAATGAGAGTACTTAGGACTTCGGGGCGGGGCAAGCGTAGAGATCTGCCTCTCCCCGTTTCACAGCAGCTGACGAATCTCACTCAGAGGGCTCCTGCAGAGATGTGGCCCACAAGTGTCCACAGGTCTTGGAACGAAGCTGATGGGGCCGGAAAAGAAGCTTGTAAGCAACCCTAAGATGTTTGAGCTTTGAGGCCAACTCAGCATCACTTTTTGCTCCCGTATTTTAGGGTTTAGGGTTTAGGGTTTAGGGTTTAGGGTTTAGGGTTTAGGGTTTAGGGCTCACGCTTCGCTCGAAAGAAGGGTCAAGACAAAGATCTCCTGAAATTTGAGACCCACTCGAAGCCACAACCCAGCCCCGAGCACCAGAAGCCCTAGACCCTCCAGGCCCTAGAACCCTGTGACCCTCAACCCCCTCAACGAGACCAAACTCCAAGACCTCACGTCGTTGAGGGCCACTGGGCGAAGAAACCTTCGGCCTCTTCGTCCCCTGGCGATGTAGGCGCGGAGAGCGAGGGGAGGACCAGGGAGAATGAGATTGGGGAGCATCCTGAAGAAAAGCCCTCCAACCTTAGAACCTGAATTCTACGAAGTTTCCTACTCTGGAGGCCATGACGGAAAACGATGTTCAGGCCAAGAGGATGTTACCGTGGATTTTGGTGCGCGCAGTTGGCTATAGGATCATCATATAAGGACACGTTTTGGGGTGCTCGTGCACACGCCCTTTATATGCCGGTGCTTTGATGCTTTGTGGCTGTGATCTTTCAAGTCGGGGCACGAAGCCCATGTGCCCCTGAAAAAGACCGAACATGTCTTCATGATGGGGCGTTTGCTTCGCTTGCTCCCCGGGCTGTGCCTGGGCCTGCTCGCTGATGGGACGGCCGAGGCCTGTGTGGATGATGCAGTTTGTGGGGGTACCAGCTGGCTTCAGGAAACGTACACTCTGGACTCCAGGCTTGCGACAGAGTCCGAGTCCAAGCAGGCGGGGCCACTGACGGACGAGCTCTATGCAGAAGGCTTCTCAGCCGTGACGGTCCCCATCGGCCCTGGCCTGATCCTGTCGATTGTCATATTCATCCTGCTCCTTACAGCCCACGAAGCCTTTGTGGCTGCTGGGGCAAAGCCCCTGCTAGCAAACCACGAGAGGCCCAACAGCATACCGTTGCAATGCACGTTCGCCATGCACTGGCTTATAATGATGGTGAACCTTTCAATGCTTGTGCCGGTGTCTCTGGACTACGCACTGGCCATGGGACACTCTGCTACTGCCAGTGGACTTTTCCTCAGTGCGCCCAAAGTGTTCGCACTGCTTGGCACGATGCTGGGGAAACCCCTCACAAGCGAAGTGAACTGGGACCAGGCATCGCCCGACGTTTGTACCTCGGCTGCCAGGGGTTAGCCTTCTCTGGCAACTTGATCCTGGCATTCTTGATGCAGGCGGCATCCCACTGGAACGATGCGACGAGGCAAACGTGCTTCTGGTGCTTCCTCCTTGTAAACGGCGCAAACCAATTCTTTCAGCTCCTCCCGAGCGTAGGCTTCCAAACCATGTGGAATATCGTCACGCCCAACAGCCAGAAGACGCTCTGGAGCATGATCGCCATCGCGTGTCGGAACTCCGGCTTTATTGTGGGCCCAGTGAGTTTTGCTGCTATCAGCTTCACGGTGCGGAGGGGGCGGGACATATCTCCCATCAGCATGATGAGCTGGTCCTTCGTTGGCCTCGCGATGTTTCAAGCTTTGGCGCCGATGCAGAATTGGGACTTGTTCCCCTGTTCTGGGGTTTGTGTAAGTTTTAGCGACTTTTAGAGTATGTCTACAGGGATCCTTCAAGCCCACGTTGAGCAATGTTAAGCATAAATGGGGACCCTTTCTCCTTGGCCGCTCGTTGGCCGAGGTGCTGACGACCGCGTCGCTTTGCTTACCGACGGAGGTCACGCCTCTGGAGGAGGATGGAAAAGCTGCGAAGGAGGATCAAGACATGGAGCTGAGCCCGGAGGCACGTGTTGTGACATCTCAAGACACCCCCCCCCCCCCCCCCCCAAGAATGGTGCTCCACCCGACAGGCCCTGTAGCCCCAGTCCCTGGTGCTCCCCTGCAGGATCTCCCACCAGAGTCGCGACAGGAGCTTGTGAAGAACGCCATCGTGTACTCCTATGAGCGGACCTTCACCACCGCTGCCGTCGAGGTCTCCACGATGATGCTCTTGGAAGTGCAATATGGATGGTCGGCGGAGTTCTGCGGGGCTGCCTTCATGTCGGTGGGCGCGGCCACTATGGCCGCAACCATCATCTCCACCGTTGCGGTGAGCAGGAAGTGGATCAGAGAATCCTGGCTCTTTATGGGCTCCACCTTAGTCTCCCTCTCTGGCGTCTTCCTGCTCTTCGACTGGCCGTTTTATGGGGCTTCTGGGGGTGGGTTCCTGCTCTTAGCTGACTCGTTGGTCTACGCCTTCTCGGGCGTCTCCATGGGCATCGCCCAGGGCTGGGCTACCCGGGCAACCATGAAGGGCACGAGCTACGACATCCAGACTTACCGGGTGCAGAATCTCTTATACAGTGAAAGTAACATTCCCAAATTTTTCCAGGTTTGAGAGAGCCAATTCCCGAAGCCCAGCGCGCCCAAGAGTTATTAGCAGTCTGTAAGGAGCATCGCTGCGAGCTTGATCAGCAAGTTCCTGGCCCCCATCTTCACCCGCTTTATCCTGGATTTCGGCGGCCGGAACCTCTACGCCCTGGCTCAGGTGATCCTTAGTAGCTGAATGAGTACACTTTGCACTTCTTCGGGATACTCCACCCCCCTATAGAACTCAAAGCGTGCACTTTTTTGGGGTGGGCTTATGAGCTCAGCAAGTAAGGGTCATGTGCACCATGGGATCTTACACGGTTTGGCGCACCGTCTCCCTGGTCTGGCAGGGTGCGAGGCACGGCCAGGAATCCAAGAAGAACGCGAACAACAACGAGCCTACACCGAACACGTGCCAGGGGAAGGAGAGGAATGAGAGTACTTAGGACTTCGGGAAGGGGGGGGGGAGCGCAGAGGTCTGCCTCTTTTCCCCTTTTCACAGCAGCTTCCGACTCTGACTCAGAGGCTCATGGCCCCTGCAGAGATGTGGCCCACAAGTGTCCGCAGGTTTTCGACTGAAGCTGTTGGGGACGGAAAAGGGAGCTTTCTAAGCAAGCAGCAGACTGGGGGGCCTCAAGCATGGGGGAAGTTGCAACATCCACACATGTTGCCCTAAACCCTAAACCCTAAACCCTAAACCCTAAACCCTAAACCCTAAACCCTAAACCCTAAACCCTAAACCCTAAACCCTAAACCCTAAACCCTAAACCCTAAACCCTAAACCCTAAACCCTAAACCCTAAACCCTATGCATCTCTACTCCGAGAGTTGCCACAGAAAATGATTGAACAAAAACAGCTACTTTGAGTACCCCCCTAAACCCAAACCCTAAACCCTGAACCCTAAACCCTGAAACCCTAACCCCCCCCCCCCCCGCCCCCCTCCAAAGGCAAACCTACCTCGAGTACCCCTGAACCCTAAGCCCCCAAAAACACCCCTGAACCCTAAACCCTAAACCCGGAACCCCCCCAAAAAGAAAACATACTCTGGGCACCCCCCCCCCCCCCCTGCCCGCCTACCCTCTGCAACCCCCAAGCCCGAGCAACTCGACGAGGCAAGCTGCTGCCACGCCTGTCGCCTCTCTAAGTCCGGGCCCGGGGTCTCGGGTTGGTTTAGGGTTTAGGGTTTAGGGTTTAGGGTTTAGGGTTTAGGGTTTAGGGTTTAGGGTTTAGGGTTTAGGGTTTAGGGTTTAGGGTTTTGGGCTTCAGGGCTTTAGGGCTTCAGGGCTTTAGGGCTTTAGGGCTTCAGGGGCTTTAGGGCTTTAGGGCTTTAGGGCTTGAGGGCTTTAGGGCTTTGGGGCTTTAGGGCTTTAGGGCTTTGGGGCTTTAGGTCTTTGGGGTTTGGGGCTTTGGGCTTCATTGTTTTGGGTTTAGGGCTTTTGGGTTTAGGGTTTGGGGCTTTAGGCTTTAGGCTTTAGGGTTTGGGGGCCTTTGGTTTTTAGGGATTTTGGGGGTTTTGGTGTCTTATCATACAGGTGCAATAGGCACCTCACCAAGATGGTCTTGATCACCAGCCTAAGCCCTGAAACCCTAAACCCCTAAACCCCCAAACCCCTGAACCCCTAAACCCCCAAACCCCTAAACCCCTAAACCCCTAAACCCCTGAACCCCTGAACCCCTAAACCCCTGAACCCCTGAACCCCTAAACCCCTAAACCCCTAGACCCCTGAACCCCTAAAAACCCCTAAACCCCTAGACCCCTAAACCCCTAAACCCGGCTGCAGCCGGCTCGAGCTTCAACACGTCCAGGGCGGCCGGCAGCGCTCGAGCCCCCAGTGCAGTCGTTTCTCATGCTCCAGGATCTTTTCTGGAGTTGTCTCCTGGCTGCTGCAACTCAAGGGCATGGGCTAGTGCAGTTCCCTGAGACTTTGCCCGGGAAGCAGAGAGTGAGCGGCCGTCGCCAGGGTCCTTGGCCGAGGGGCGAGTCCTTTGATGGAAGTGGCAAGCTCTTCTGCCCTTGCAGCTGGGCGGCTTTTGCAGCCTGAGCTCTCTCTCTCTCTCTCTCTCTCTCTCTCTTCCTCTTCTCTTTTTCTGTCATGTTTCTACGGTCTTGGGTTCGTTTTTCAGAAGTGCCTTCTTTTCCGTTTCGGCATCTGACTCTTCCTAGGTAGCAGCCAGCTGGAAATTGTTGGGCGGCACCAGGAGCTGGTGGCAGAAGATGGCGGCTGTGGCGGGGTGGCCTTTGACTTCCAGGCTACTTGCTTAAGAACCCCCCAAAAAAGTGAGAATAATAAATAATCCTTAGATTACCCTTATAAGGAAGAATGTTTTTTTTTTTTTTTTTCATTTTTTGTGGGGTTCTTGAGCAGTTGGTAGCAGGGTGTTGAAATCCACGCCCGCTTCAACGGCACGTCCTGGGCAGAAGTGGTGATGTCGCAGGCGGGCGCGAACCCACTGCTGTACAAAGCCAACTTCTTCAACGTATACGTCAACTCGAGCCTTTTTAGGGGTACTTGGAAACCATTCTTAGTTTTTGGCTACTAGAATCCCTAAGCAACAGCTAGAGTTACTGTTTGTCAGGGTGCCAAGTTCTGTATAGGAACCTCACAAGTTCCTTCAACACCAGCTTCTGGATGTCCCAGGGCATAGTGGCCGTCCCGCTCTTCGCAGGTTTAGACCCCGATGAAGCCTACGACGTGGTCATTGTGAAGAACCTTGGGAACCAAATGAACCCAAAAATCCGGGGTCTCGTAGACCCCATATAGACCCCTACTACTACTACTACTACTACTACTACTACTACTACTACTACTACTACTACTACTACTACTACTACTACTACTACTACTACTACTACTACTACTGCTACTGCTACTGCTACTACTACTACTACTACTACTGCTACTGCTACTACTACTACTACTACTACTACTACTACTACTACTACTACTACTACTACTACTACTACTACTACTACTACTACTACTACTACTACTACTACTACTACTACTACTACTTCGTCAATTCCTATGAAGGTATATGAGCCCCAAACCCTTTTGAACAATCATCTGGTTCCCCGCCCTCAAGGAATACCGAGCCTCAGTTCAGTGAGCCCTGAACCGAATGAACACCAAAATCGTATAGACCCCATGCTATATATTTCCGATCAACGTAACGTATATGAGCCCTAAAACCGTTTAGGGCAATTGGTTACGACCAGTTTGGGCTTGAGTGTCCAATATGAAAAGAAGTACGATTTGTTGCCACCAGTTTGTGCTTGATCGTCAAAGATGGGAAGAAGCAATTTGTTGCCACCAGTTTGTAAGCCTAAACCCGACACCCTAAAGCCTAAGCCCAAAAAATTGTAGATCAAAGATAGATCTTGAAGAAACTTGGATTGTTTACTTACTTGTAAGGTCTTCGGTGCAGGATCGGAGATAGGTCGATCTTGAAGAAACTTGTGTTGCTTACTTAATTGTAAGGCCTTCGGTGGGTCGGTATCTGTGTGAGGCATGGCAAGAAGTACGATTTGTTTGCTTGGTTGCCAAAGATGAGAAGAAGTACGATTTTGTTGCCAGCAGTTTGTGCTTGAGTGTCCAAGATGAAGGAACTACGATTTGTTGCCGCTAGTTCGTGTGTGATTGTCAAAGATGGGAGGAAGTACGATTTGTTGCCACCAGTTTGTGATTGATACTCTAAGCCTTAAACCCAAAACCCCAAACCCTAAACCCAAAACCCCAGACCGTTTGATAAAGCAGTCAGGTTGGTCGGCCCAAATCAGGCGATACATTTAGTAAAGTAGTCAGTTTTGGCGACCAAAACAAGCCTAACCTCGACACCTTAAACCCTAAGGGTTGTTTACTTAATTGTAAGGTCTTGCGTGGGTCGAGGGTTAAGGATCGGAGATAGGTCGAACTTGAAGAAACTTGTGGTCTTCGGTGGTCGGTATCTGTGTGAGGCATGGCAAGATGCACGATTTGTTGCCAGCAGTTTGTGCTTGATTGTCACGGTTTGTTGCCAGCGGTTGGTGCTGATTGTCAAAGATGGGAAGAAGTACGATTTGTTGCCACCAGTTTGAGCTTGATTGTCAAAGATGGGAAGAACGAATGGTTGCCACCGGTTTGTGCTTGATACCCTAAGCCCTAAACCCTAAATAAACCCTCCAAACCCTAAACCCAAAACCCTAAACCATTTGATACAGCAGTCAGTTTGGCTGACCCAAACCGGGCGACTCAATTAGCAAAGTAGCACCACTATATTTCCTATGAAGGTATATGAACCCTAAACCCTCGTTAGGGATCATGTGAGGAATACCGAGCCTCAGTTCAGTGAGCCCTACGTCGCCTCGAATTTCCTCACGCTGCACGGGTTCCGAGGCTCCGAGGAGGCGCAGCTGGAAGAGGTTCCGGCGCTGCCAGAGCGGAGAATTGAGACATGGCACCCCTTTATGAGGGGTCCCTTTAACGGGGGTTCTATATTCTATTTGGTGTATAAAAAGGGGTTTAGGGTTTAGGACCCCTTCCAGGGATTCTATATTCTATTTGGGGGAAAAAAAAAAGCGGTACCCCTGTTTTGGGGAAATACTCAGTTGAGTCATGGGGGCGGTCGTCGGAAGCTGGTTTTTGCTGCCGTGCGGTGCACGCCGCGCCAAGTTCTAACACCCTCGGAATCATTCTTGGTGGCAGTAGCCTAATCCTTAAACCTAAACCCTAAACCCTAGACCCTAGACCCTAGACCGTGCCACACAGCCCTCAACGGTCGATCCCAGGAGTTCTTGGGCGACAGCATCGCCGCCGGGTTCTGCAACAATGCCAACCCCTGCCTCATTGCTCCGACTTTTTGAAACATGTTTTGCTTTTGGGGACTGGGGTTTGGGGTTTAGGGTTTAGGGTTTGGGGTTTAGGGTTAAGGGTTTAGGGTTTAGGGTGTGAGTACGATAACTTGGTGGCCCAGTGGTACCCTTTACCTTTTTTTGGTTCTGGGTTCCCTTATAAAGTAACCAACCCCAAAAAGGGGTGCCGTTATTTTATCATGGTTACTGGGCTACCAAGTGCGAGTACGCATTTAGTAGCAGCAGCTGTAGCAATAGAAATGGGCCTAGTCTCGTGGAGTTTACTGAACCGTTCTATCTTGTGGTGTGCAAGTAATTGTTGGTTCTGAGGCGGGGTCCTTAAACCCCAAACCCTAAACCCTAAACCCTAAACCCTGAGGTCCTCCTTACGACTAAGGCCTGCCAAGAAATTCGAGCATCTGTTCCCCCAGCAACCAGTGGTTCAATGAGTCCTGGCCGAGCTTGATCTGCAAAGGACTCGGTGCGCAGTGCCGAGGCTCCTAGGTGCTGGGGTTTAGGGTTTAGGGTTTAGGGTTTTGGGTTTAGGGTTTAGGGTTTAGGGTTTAGGGTTTAGGGTTTAGGGTTTAGGGTTTAGGGCTAGGGTTTGGGGTTTAGGGTTTAGGGTGTAGGGTTGGCGTTCCTTTTGTTTCACCACTCCCCTGTTGGCGCCCCACTGAACCCTCGACTTCCAGCTTTCTTGTGGCCATAGATACCATTGCTGCTGCGAACGCAGCTTGCAACGGTTGCTTTTGCTTTGGCAGGGACTGCTAAACCCAAAACCCTTAGCTATAGACACTAAACCCTAGTTTTTGATTTGGGGGTCTGCGACAAAAAGGGACCCCTCATATAGACCCGCAAATAGTAAAAAACTCCCTTCTAGTAAGGACCCCAATAAGTGGCCCCCGAATTTCGTAAAGCCCAATCTGGTAGGGACCACCCAGGTGTCATACTGCAGCCTGGAGCGGACTGGGTATGGCGGCCAACTGTTGCGGAGGATACACTCTGACGCTTGGTACATCTGTCTCAGCAGTTTGGGATATGGGCATTTCCCCAAATAGGGGACCCCCCAAAAGGGCACCCCTATTTTCGTAAGCCCCCCCAAACTCTCTAAACCCCAAGCCCAAACACTCTCAAACTCAAAAAGCCCTAAACGCAACCCTTAATGCTAAACTCCCGAAACCCTGAACTCCCTAAACCCTAAAGCCCTAGTTTCCCCAAAACCCCTAAACCCTACATTCCCTATACCCGGAAACTCCCTCAATCCGCTAGAACCCCTAAAGTTTTGGTTTCCCTAAACTGCCCTAAACCCCCTAAACCCTAAATTCCCTCACCTAAACACTGAGGATGTCCACGGTCTGGCTTCGTACAGTGGGAAGCCTCGAGTCCTTAAACCAGCTGATGCCCTTTCAGACTCCCGAAGACGCTGGGACCTGGGCTCCGGAAGCAGGGTTTCGGGTTTAGGGGTTTAGGGTTTAGGGTTCAGGGTTTAGGGTGTAGGGGTTTAAGGCTCCGGAAGCAGGGTTTGGGGTTTGGGGTTTAGGGTTTAGGGTTCAGGGTTTAGGGTTGAGGGTTTAGGGTGTAGGGGTTTAGGGTTTTAGGGTTTAGGGTCTTGACCCCGCAGCAGTTCCCAGAAGCTGTCGATGATCGTCTTGGCGCGCTTGTTGTTTAAGTGTTACAGCAGCAAAAGGTTCTTAAGTCCGAAGACTAAGCCCTAAACCCTAAACCCTAAACCCTAATTGACCCCTAAACCCCAAACCCCAAACCCTAAACCCAAGCAGTGGATGCTTTGCTCACTGCCACTTTGGGCTGAAAGTCGGTGCCCAGGACAACCTCTGGGATTTTTCCCGATGGGTGCCTGATGCCGTGGTCATCAACTTGGGCACGAGCTCTGGGGTGCCTATAGCATGTTGTCTAGGTAGGCCAAACGGTTGTTGTGCCCTATCAGGCCCCTTAACCCTAAACCCTAAACCCTAAACCCTAAACCCTAAACCCTAAACCCTAAACCCTCTTAAAGTGCTAAAGGCCCTGATCCCTAGAGCCCCCCAGAGCCCTGAACCACAACAAGGATGGCCCTTAAAGCCCTCTGAAAAAATATTCCTGAATATGATCCCCTTAAACCCTAAACCCTAAACCCTAAACCCTAAACCCTAAACCCTAAACCCTAAACCCTAAACCCTAGAGGGTTCTAAGGGTTGAACTTTGCAGGAACGACCACTTCCAGTGGCCTGTGGTGGTGCCTGCCTTCAATGCAACCTATTTGCAGCTCTTGCTGCTGGCTGCGAGGTCCTATGGGCCCAAGACCCTTCCCCGGATTTTTTGGCACATGTTTTTAATCTTTTGGGGTACGAGAATTCCTAAGAAACAGCTAAAGTTCAATATTCTGCTAGGGTTCCAGGATCAGTATAGGACCCACTTCTTCCTGGCATGTGGGCCCATGACGGACGCCTACTGTGACAACGTCTTCTGGGTCATTGACCAAGCCCGAGAATCTTGGTGTTTCGGTGAGTAGCCTTACATTCTAGATGCTCTTATACACTGGCTTTCTTACTTGCAAGCACTAGGAAGTGCGAAGCTTTCTAAACCCCAAAACCCAACCCTAAACCCTAAACCCTAGACCCTAGACCCTAAACCCTAAACCCTACACCCTAAACCCTAAACCCTGAACCCTAAACCCAGGAAGTGCTTCCCAAGCTGAAAGTCTCCTTCCTCGACCAGCGGCCCTTTCTGAACGGCAGCTTTGGCCCGCGCTGCGGCTACCATCCCTCAGTGGAGGCGGCTGGGGTTTAGGGTTTAGGGTTTAGGGTTTCGGGTTTCGGGTTTAGGGTTTAGGGTTTAGGCTTTATTGCTTCGGGTTTGGAGTTGTTCAACTCTTTCAGGCCAGGGTCTTACCGTGACTTGCAACATCAGGTCGACTCTGCCATGGCCGAAGCTGCAATTCCCATCATTCAAGAGGCTTTGAACTGGCAGTGAGGTTCGCTAAACTACGGGGGGCCCCCTTTCCGGGGATACATACACATAGTACCATGTATAGGGCACCCCAGAAAGGCCCCGAGACTGTTGGAGAATCCCCCCCCTCCGTACGAATGGTACAAGCCCATGGTGCCTGGCACCGTCGCAGCAAATAGCAGCACACTTTAAGAATCTATTGCCCACCGCACCCTTTTGACTCGCGGCACCATGTACAGCACCATGAAGCCCGCAGAGTTCCGCACAGTGTACAGTGGCCACAAGCCATGCGCAGCTTTTGCAAGACGACGGCCATGCCCTGTAAAGTTGTGATGGGAGTGCTCCTGGCTGTGGATTGTCACCGGAGTCGAAAGCTTGTTGCGGGGTCTTGAGATGCGGAAGGGATCTGCAGAACCAGATGATCAGCACTCGCTGGCTCCCTTTGATTAACTCATGGTAGAGTTGAGCCTGCCCAAAAACCCCCAGCAGAAAAATTCCCTCAGCTAATCTGAGCTGCCACACTGCCAAGCTGTCCTCTACCTGCCCACGCTGTACATGAATCCAAAGAGAGAGATGGATGGTTCAGGCCGCGGGATTTGGTGGTTTTTTTGGGGGTCTTGGGTGTGGAGCGAGACGTCAGCAAGCCTGTTGCTAAAAGGCTCAGAAGGTAAAGAGTTAACAAGAACCCCTAACCCTAAACCCTAAAACGCCTCGTACACCCTCAACCCCAAAAACCTCTTAAACCCTAAACCCCAAAAACCCTCTTAGACCCTAAGCTCTCAAAAGACCTCGTAAGCCTTAAAAGACTCTGAAACCCTACACCCCTAAACCTGGTACCCTAAACCCTAAACCCCTCAATGAACCCTTGTCTCTTCTCAAGGTCCTCTCCACATGGAATCGGTACAACCTCCGAGGCCCTGCATGGGTGGAAAGGGTTTGAAGGGTTTGAAGGGGGCTTGAAGGATTTTCAGGGTTTAAAGGGTGTTAAGCATGCTTGAAGGGCTTGAAGGGCTTTGAGGGCGCAAAGGGGTTTCAAGGGTTTCAAGGGCTTTGAGGGCGTTAAGGGTTTAAAGGGTGTTCTGACTCTTGGACTGAGGGCTTTCGAGCTGCTAGCTTTGTGGATCTGCGGGTAGAGTATTGAGAGCGGATTTCGGGCTGAAAGGCAAAAAATGCCGAAGCGACTTCGACTTCAGGGGCGCCAACCAAAATAGCTGCGAGCCGCGTTGAGTCAGAATGTCCCGTTCGAATCTATCGGTCCCTGTCTCTCAAACCGCCTTAGGGCGTTTAGGGGGGTTCAGGGAGTTTAGAGGGGATTTAAGGGTTTAGGGAGTGCAAAACACCCACGAGTAAGGATGTACTGAGCCATCGACGAAAAGCGCACTTTCCGCACAAGATGCACGTAGACCCGGGTTTAGGGTTTAGGGTTTAGGGTTTATTGTTTAGGGTCTATTTTGCTCGTAGAAATGGCGTGGCCTCAAGTATCCCAAGACGCAGATGGACCAGCTCGGCTGGCAAGTCGGGCGTCCTTCTTCGCACACGCTACTGCACACATCGTGTCCGAGATCACAAAGGAGGTCTCTCAACCCCCAGTATACTGAACCCAGATCAAACGCCCCAAGTTAGGCTAAACCCTAAACGCCAAACCCCAAACCCTAAACCCTAAACCCTCAACCCTCAACCCTAAACCCTAAACCCTAAACCCTAAACCCTAAACCCTAAACCGGAACTGTCCAACCCTCGGCAAACAAGATCTGCTCTGCGGCTGATGAAGGCCAACGGCTGGGCGGAAGCACCGTGGCAAACAAGGCCGGGAGAGGCTTCATGGACAGTTTAGGGTTTGGGGGTTAAACGGTATTTTCGGGTTTTTGGGTTTGGGGCGTGCGGGCTCGGGTCAACATCTGTGAGGGGAACCTTGCAGGATCCCACCTTTGGGGGTCAAATCAGCCCTAAAAATGAAGGTCGTATACCCTATACTACTATAATCCCTATGAAGGTATACAAACCATAAACTCTTCCAGGGCTATCTTGGTCCGCAAGGAACAGGCGCCTCCGTGAAACGCGGGGCCGTTCAGGGTAAGGACCACCTAAAGGCATCAGTTTGGGGGTCGCTTCTGTGCTCAGGCCCTTGAGTGGGTCACTGCACGCCTTAGGCATGGAAGCATGCTTCCTTACATTCAACCCCTAACCCTAAACCCTAGACCCTAAGCCCTAAGCCCTAAACCCTAGACCCTAGACCCTAAACCCTAAACCCTAAACCCTAAGCCCTAAGCCCTAAACCAAAACTCCTCAACCTGGACATATTCCTGACCAGCCACAGGTCCCGTGTGGAGCAGGCCATCCCGCAGCGCGAGTCTTGTGCAACGTGCCCTTGAGTGCCTGTGCCTGCAGCGGTGTGCGCCGATGCTTTCGTCGATGCCTGCTTGTGATCTCAAGAGGGCATGAAACCCCGTGTGCCCCATTCGTAAACCGAACCGAACTTCATAATGCTGAGGCGTAGTTTGCTACTCTTGCTGACAGAGCTCTCGACAGAGTCCTCGATAGAGTCGAGGGAGTCGGGGCCACTGACGGACGAACTCTTCGCCCGTGGTTTCTCAGCCGTGACGGTCCCCATCGGCCCTGGCGTGCTTCTGGTGATCGTCATCTTCATCGTGCTCCTTGCAGCCCACGAAGCCTTTGTGGCTTCTGGGGCAAAGCCGCTGCTGGCAAACCACGAGAAGCCCAACAGCCTGCCGTTGCAGTGCGCGTTTGCGATAAATTGGCTCCTCATGATGGTGAACCTTTCAATGCTTGTACCAGTGTCTCTGGATTACGCACTGGCCATGGGACACTCTGCTACTGCCAGTGGAGCTTTCCTCAGCGCGCCCATGCTTTTTGCCGTGCTTGGCACGATGCTGGGGAGACGCCTCACAAGCGAAGTGAACTGGGACCAGCCATTCGCCCGACGTGTGCTTTTGGGCAGCCATGGTTTATCTTTCACCGGCACCCTGATCCTGGCATTCTTGATGCAGGCGGCATCCCACTGGAACGATGCGACGAGGAAAGCATCCTTCTGGTGCTTCTTCTTTGCACACGGTGTGAACCAATTCTTCAACGCCCTCCCGATCGTGAGCTGGGCCACCATGTGGAACGTTGTGACGCCCAACAGCCAGAAGACCCTCTGGAGCATGATCGCCATCGCGTGTCGTAACTGTGGCTTCATCGTGGGCCCAGTGTGCTTCGCTGCTATCAGTTACTTGGTGCGGAGGGGGCGCGACATCTCTCCGATCAGCATGATGGGCTGGTCCTTTGTTGGGCTCGCGACGTTTCAAGCTTTGCTTCTGACGGCTGGGTCCCTCTGCTTGCCGACCGTAGTCTCTCCTCCTGAGGAGGATGAAAACGCCGCGGCGGAGGATCTGGATGTCGAGCTGAGCCCAGAGGATCAGCCTGCCACATCCCAAACCATCCCCAGACTGGCCCAGAATCCTGGGCCCCCATGCCTTTCCAAATATATGCAGTCGCTAGTACTTGGAACCAAGGGAAGGTAAAAAGTAGGTTTGGGGGTTCTTAGCAGTATAAACGACATCGAGCCTCGGCAAAGTGCAGGACCTCCCGCCAGAGTCGCGGCAGGAAATGGTGAGGAACATCATCATCTACAGCTATGAGCGGCCCTTCACCGTCGCCGCCATCGAGGTCTCCACAATGATGCTCTTGGAAGTGCAATATGGGTGGTCGAAAGAGTCCTGTGGAGCTTCCTTCATGACGGTGGGCGCGGCCACTATGGCCACCACCATCATCTCCACCGTTGTGGTGAGCAGGAAGTGGATCAGAGAATCCTGGCTCTTCCTGGGCTCCACCTTAATCTCCCTTTTTGGCATCGTCCTGCTCTTTGACTTTAGGCTGCCAGGGGCTTTGGGAGGTGGTTGGACCCTGCTCTTGGCTGACTCCTTGGTCTACGCCTTCTCCGGCGTCTCCAACGGCATCGCACAGGGCTGGGCCTCCCGAGCGGCCATGAAGGGCACGAGCTACGACATCCAGACCTACCGGGCACAGAAGCTCATACTCATACTGTGAGCTCAAATTTAAATTCTTGCATGTCTCAAACCAATCACCTACGGTGCCGTAAGCTCGTTTTTGCTTATATATATATATATGTAGGTAAAACCTGTTAAGCTCCTCGTCCCCTCCTGAAGCCTTGAAGGAACGTGGCTGCGCTCCAGATCACCAGGTTCCTGGTCCCCATCTTCACCCGCTTTGTCGTGGACTACGGAGGCCGGAACACCTACGCCCTGGTTCAGCTGCTCATGTGCGCCCTGGGCACCTCCACCGTCTGGCGCACCGTGAGCCTTGTCTGGCGGGGGGTGAAGCACCATCACAAGAAGTCAAAGAGCGAGCCTGTATAGAACACCTGCCAGATAAAGGTGGCTGCATGCAAATTTGCAGGAGAACTACAAGTTTCGGGACAGTGACTGCTGCCTATGATGAGACTCGAGCTGCACTGTGTCACATTGGCGATGCTCCCACCCAGGGGGAGTTATTTCATATACCTCGTCACGGTTGCTGAGGGCTCTCCTCGCTCCGGGCGCTGTCGGTTCATCCGCGCGCGCGTTTCACTGGTCCTTGCTCTCGTGACGGTGGATGGAATTTCACCTACAGCTGTCAAGAGCGCTGAGGTTTTTTCTTCGCTCTGTAGATAGCCGGGCTCTTTGAGCTTGCTCCTGACCATGCGCCCCAAGGGCACCGGGCGGCTGCCCGCGTCCTCAAAGTCAAAAAGTCCTTAAGGGCCTGCGCCTTGCAGTGGTGGCCCACCAGCGTCCGCAAAGTCACGCTAGGCTGCTGAAGACGGACGAGGACCTCGCGCAAAAGCAGGCGAGCAAGCTCCTTTTAAGCAGGATCCTCTGGGCGATCCGAACTCAAGAAGCGCTCCGCTTTGCCCAGTATATGCTTTCTGCCATGTTTGAGGGGTCCCAAAAACCCTAAGGCCCTTGGCTGCCATGGAGGACTCAACTTGGTGCCTCCAGGCAGAGCACCCGAAAGGTTTCGAGGTTTTTCGGCTTTCTGGGAGTAGGTTTTAAGGGTCTTGTGAGTGATCTTCGCGGGGGGTGCGGGCGTTAGGGCCTTTTGAGTTTAGCCAAGACACAAGTTGAGGCGTTTCTGCCGCAGTTGTTTTTGTTTTTTTTGGGGCGTGCCTTATTTGCAGAGGAAGACTTTCCTCCCAAGAGGCGATTCTGTAAACTGGGTCCGTGATCAGTGCTCATCCTATAGGCATTTAAGCAGACTCCCAAGCCTCCCTGGACGCATTCCTGACAAGCCACAGGTCCCCAGTTGTGTGAGACTTCTGCAACTTGCCCCTGTGCTTGCGCCTTCATGCAGCGGTGTGCGCCGATGCTTTCGTCGCCTGCTTGTGATCTCAAGCCAGAGGGCATGAAACCCCGTGTGCCCCATTCGTAAACCGAACCGAACTTCATGATGCTGAGGCGTAGTTTGCTACTCTTGCTGACAGAGCTCTCGACAGAGTCCTCGATAGAGTCGAGGGAGTCGGGGCCACTGACGGACGAACTCTTCGCCCGCGGCTTCTCAGCCGTGACGGTCCCCATCGGCCCTGGCGTGCTTCTGGTGATCGTCATCTTCATCGTGCTCCTTGCAGGCCACGAAGCCTTTGTGGCTTCTGGGGCAAAGCCGCTGCTGGCAAACCACGAGAAGCCCAACAGCCTGCCGTTGCAGTGCGCGTTTGCGATACATTGGCTCCTCATGCTGGTGAACCTTTCAATGCTTGTACCGGTGTCTCTGGACTACGCGCTGGCCATGGGACACTCTGCTACTGCCAGCGGAGCTTTCCTGAGTGTCCCCATGCTTTTTGCCGTGCTTGGCACGATGCTAGGGAAACCCCTCACAAGCGAAGTGAACTGGGACCAGCCGTTCGCCCGACGTTTGTTTCTGGGCTGCCATGTGTTCGCGTTTACTGGTGCCCTGGTCCTGGCATTCTTGATGCAAGCGGCATCCCAATGGAACGATGCGACGAGGAAAACATCCTTCTGGGGCTTCCTCCTTGTCAGCGGTGTAAACGAATTCTTCAACGCCCTCCCGATGGTGGGCTTGAACACCATGTGGAACGTCGTCACGCCCAACAGCCAGAAGACGCTCTGGAGCATGATCGCCAGCGCATGTCGGAACTCCGGATTCATCGTGGGCCCGGCGTGTTTCGCTGCTATCAGCTGCTTGGGGCGGAGGGGGCGCGACATTTCTCCCATCAGCATGATGGGCTGGTCCTTTGTTGGGCTCGCGATGTTTCACGCTTTGCTTCTGATGGCTGGGTCCCTCTGCTTGCCGACGGTGGTCTCTCCTCCTGAGGAGGATGAAAACGCCGCGGCTGAGGATCTGGATGTGGAGCTGAGCCCAGAGGATCATCCTGCCACATCCCAAACCATCCCCAGAATGACCCAGAATCCTGAACTAGACTGTTGAATCAGGCTCCCCATGTTTCAAGAACCCGAAGGCATGTTTGGTTTCCAGGTTGTGCCTAATAGAAGCAATCGGTAGTACTTGGAACCAAGGGAAAGCAAACGTAGGTTGGGCGACAGCAAACCTCGGCAAAGCGCAGGACCTCCCGCCAGAGTCGCGGCAGGAAATGGTGAGGAACATCATCATCTACTGCTATGAGCGGCCTTTCACCGTCTCCGCCATCGAGGTCTCCACGATGATGCTCTTGGAAGTGCAATATGGGTGGTCGAAAGAGTTCTGTGGAGCTTCCTTCATGGCGGTCGGCGCGGCCACTTTGGCCACCACCATCATCTCCACCTTTGTGGTGAGCAGGAAGTGGATCAGAGAATCCTGGCTCTTCCTGGGCTCCACCTTAATCTCCCTCTCTGGCGTTTTCCTGCTCTTTGACTTTAGGCTGCCAGGGGCTTTGGGAGGTGGCTGGACCCTGCTCTTGGCTGACTCCTTGGTCTACGCCTTCTCCGGCGTCTCCATGGGCCTCGCCCAAGGCTGGGCTGGACGTGCGGCCATGAAGGGCACGAGCTTCGACATCCAGACATACCGGATGCGGAGTCTCAGCTTCTTCTGAATGATCGTACGTTTCCTAACCGATCACTACGCCTGGTACGGTACAAGCCTTTTTTGCCTCCCTTTTTTTGAACCTCCTTCGTCTTGCATGAGGAGTGTGGGCGCGATCCAGATCACCAGGTTCCTGGTCCCCATCTTCACCCGCTTTGTCGTGGACTACGGAGGCCGGAACACCTACGCCCTGGTTCAGCTGCTCATGTGCGCCCTGGGCACCTCCACCGTCTGGCGCACCGTGAGCCTTGTCTGGCGGGGTCGCAGGAATTCAAAGAGCGAGCCTGTCTAGAATCTCTGGCTCCTTGGTGGGTTTAGGGTTTAGGGTTAGGGTTTAGGGTTTAGGGTTTAGGGTTTAGGGTTTAGGGTTTAGGGTTTAGGGTTTAGGGTTTAGGGTTTAGGGTTTAGGGTTTAGGGTCAAGAGTCAATCTGCTGAGAAGGACTGGCCCTCCTGCAGGGAGAGGTGGAAAGCCGGACCAGCTTCCTTGGGTCGTCCTGAATCATGAAGCCCTGTGGCTGAAATCAGGCCATGATTTTTAGGCAACACCCCTTAAGGGGATTTGGACTGCCGAAGATGAGGAAGAAGTGCACTACTCGGATGTTTCGAAACGGGTTTTTTTTTGCTTGTTTGGAGCCACGCCGGCTCTGACTGGAAGGTATCATGTAGGGGTCGGAAAAGAGTACTGATAGTATTCCCTTTACAGTCCCTTTGTAATGATACCTACAAGAACCCCCCTGAAACCCTAGTGTAATCATTAAGGCCCTTATATTGGATAATTTTGTAGTTTACGAGTTCGAGCCATTTAATTCTAGGGGGTTTAAGGTTCCCTGCTCCGCGTGTCTAGCTGGAGGAGTCAAATTGGTGGAAGAGATTGCCTGCAGGGCTTCAGGTAATGAAGGGCATAGGGCTTCCGATAGTTTAGGGCTTGGGACTTCAGGTAGTTTAAGAATACAGGAATGCTCGGGTTGAGGATTTCGGCGGAGGCCTGCGACACTAAGGCACCCCAAACAAAGGGAACAAGTTGAACATCCTAGGATCTCGGGTACTATGGGCCCTTGTTCCCTTTGCTTAGGGTTCTAGGGTCTCGGGTCTAGGGTCTAGGGTTTAGGGTTTTTTGTTCTAGGGTAACTAGGTCCCCAGAGTAGGCCCTTATTATCTTCCTTCGGCGGTTGTAGCCGCCCCGAATTGTAGTGCTTGTATCCTGTCTAGTTTGCTTCACGGGGTTTTCTCCGCTCCAGGCAAGTGCCACATTCGCGGCGCGACTTCTACGGCGACGCGAGAGCAGCATGCTCAGCTGTGAGCCGGTCCTGCTTCGGATGTGTGTGAACATCGCATTCGGTGCCGCTTTTCGGTTGTCAAGCTCCAAACTCCTGAGGCGAAATCGTAGTTTTTCCTTCAAGCTACACGGTGTCGGTCCCCTGGTCCTCAAAAAGCAACTCGGAGATGCGAAGCTTCAATCCCTGATGCAAAACTCGTTGCATGAGCTCAAAGTCAGATATTGGCGGGATGCCTCGTTTGAAACCACCCTAAACCCAGCCCCAAAACACTTGAGCCATGGCGGCCAAGGACTGCTCCAAGAGATTGAGGAGCCCCGTGGAGGCTCCCCTGGCACGGCTCTGAGGGTATCGGGGAAGGGGGGGGGGAGGTGAGTTTGGGGAGGAGGAGACCAAGTTTAGCAGAATCTGTCGGCCTACGTCCCCTAAACCCTAAACCCCAAAACCCCAAACCCTCAATCCTAAACCCCAAAACCCCAAAACCCTAAACCCTGAAACCCTAAACCCTAAACCCTCAGCCGTCATCGGCCTCCCTTCTGGGAGCCCCCACCTCAGCCCGCAGAAGAAGCTCCGGATGCCAGGCGAACTTGCGGGAGAAGGACGTTGCGGAGGTCGTGACCTTGGCCCACCGGGTCCCTAAGCCCTAAGCACTAAGCCTTATAAACCCTCAACCCTAAACCCTGAACCCTGAACCTTAAACCTTAAACCCTCTAAACCCTACACCCTACACCCCAAACCCTAAACCCTAAACCCTAAACCCTAAACCCTAAACCCTAAACCCTAAACCCTAAACCCTAAGCACGGCTCCGAAGTTGGCAGCGGCTTTTCCAGTATCCCCCACACCAAAGAAGCTGCGACAGGGCAACTGCTCTGAACAAGAACAAGCAGGGGTTTAGGGTTTAGGGCTAGGGTTTAGGGCTTTGGGTTCTGGGTTTTGGGTTCTGGGTTTTGGGCTTTAGGGTTTAGGGTTTAGGGTCTCGGGTTCAGGGTTTAGGGTTTAGGTTTGAGCATAAGTTTTTACTACACGTATTCTTGATCGTCATCCTTCTCATTGAGTATCATCCTTACAGGGCACCCACACCTGCCCCAAAGAGCGCGAGTCTGCACAAACCCCCCAAACCTCCTAGGTAGGATAAGGGGGGCCCTTAAAAGGGAACCCCTTCTTAACCCTCTTCTGGCTCTCTTAAACAGGGACCTTATTCAGAGGGTCTATATCCCCAAGGGGCCCCCTAATCCTATCCCCTAAAACCCAAACCCAAACAACCCAAAACCGATAAGAAGGCTTGTCAAGCTTTGCGATTTCGACAATGGGAGCCCCTTGTTGCGAGTTCTTATAACAAAGGGTTCATCGCATTTCGGGGTCTGTAAGGGGCACTCCCCTATTTTGGGAAATGCCCTGATTATTGCCCTGAGACCCTGCTAAAAAAGGCCCTCAAGGGTTTCGGATGTTTAGGCAGATTGGGCTGGAGCCAACTGAGCCTCGAGAGGAGTTTGGTCTTCATCCGAAATCTTTCTCACGGGCGTTTCACCTTTTGAAGTTGTCGCTTCTTCGGCGAGTCAGCTTGATGCCATGAGCTGCTGTCAGCGAGAGCAATGCGATGCTCACGAGTTGGCGAATCCTTGGTCTTCTTGGTGCCCAGTGACAGATCCTGAAGCCCAGTTCGATGAGGATCACGACAGGCAATCATGTGGCTCCGGTGAATCATATCAAGGTCTCAGTGGAATGCAGATCGCCAGGACCAGTTGGAGCTTCCCAGCCCTTAGATGATCTGGGATAGTCTGGAAGAATTACAGCATTACCTGAACTTTGTGGGTCATTCGGTGTGTTTTGCTCAAGTGTACGGGTGCAGAAGTAGTGTTCTGGAGTAGGCACTTCTTTGGAGATCAATGCAGCGTAAGTGTGCAGAACATCTTGTGTGACACCCACGAAACGCAGGAGCCTGAGCCAAGATTCTCGCGGCGGTTCGCCAACTTCCCCAACTCTCGGGCATGCGCTCTCCGAGGCCCAGCACGATAAACCCTAAGAACCCTAAACCCAAAAAACCCAAAAAAACCCTAAACCCTAAAAACCTTAAAACCCTGCTTAAAAAGCCCTAAAAACCCCCAAACCCAGATCTGGCGTGAGCCCAGCAAGCTGGCGACGCCCACGGAGACGGCCGTCGACGAATGGATGCGCAGCGTCTCCCTGCGGAGAACCTTGGCCCGGCCGCGTGCATTCTGGTTCGCCGACCCTTCTACCCGAAACTTCGGGGGATAGTTGGGAATATGTTTTAATAAAAGAGTTTTATAATTATTATTAAGTACTCTACAGTAGTTACGCGACTTCCTGAGAAAGAGCTGAAGTTGACATTTTGTTAGGGGGTTCAAAGAGTTCAGTACAGGAAACCAGAAGCAGAAGGAGCAGCTGTACCGGGCCTCTGTGAGAACAAGCAGCATCGACAAGTTCATCTCACATACCTGGAAGACGAAGGGACAATGGAAATTCTTGTCCCTTCTGCTTCATTTCGGCTGGCCAATCGTGCTGACATGCTGGGCATGTGGAGTTGCGATCGCTTTCAGCCTCTGTATGCTGGATGTCCTACCTCTTTTTAATGTTTGGGAGGTCCACGCCCTTGGCTACGACGGCGTGATTCCTTCTGGTTGCTGGATCCAGCTGTTCGGCTTCCTCTCCGTCTTTCTCGGATGCCTCGTCTTTCCGCATGTGCCGCACGAGTCAGACCAGTGCTTTCTCGACTTCTCCTGTATCCATCAGACGGAGAGAGATAAGACGAAGCAGGGGATCATGTCGATCTCCGCTTTCCTCATGCGCTCCGCGGAGTTGCGGGTGCTCTGGAGCGCGCCCCTCTTCTCCCGGCTGTGGCTTATCAGCAAGGCAATGGATTTGTTGACTTTCAAGGGCTTTCCTTCTGAACAGTAGGAAGAGCAAAGCTTCAACTTTCGAAGCGTCCTCGGTTATTGCAGAAGTAAGGTGGTGTGTCTTCGAACTCGCGGCATATCGCAAGCTGAATCCCGAAGGCAAGATCGTCGTGGAGCAGGTGAACCTTGCGCGCCAGTGGTACCCCGTGTTGTGCCACCTTGTCTTTCTCTTTTTTCTTGTGGGGGGGGGGGGGGGGTTCTCGTTATTTTAAGTAGCCTGAAGATCAGGGAGGGCATTTAATAAGGGTTCAGGGTTTAGGGTTCAGGTGTTAGGGTTCTGGGTTTGGGGTTGAGACATTAGGGTTATAAGAAAGTGACACTGGGCCAGCAGTAAGGAACAACGAGCTCTCCGCATGCCTGATGTTCTTCTGGTGGCAAGCGTCTTGCGCTGCCTTCTGGATTCTCCGGTCAGGGCCCGATGGTGGCAACCCCCAAGGCTTGTTACTGGTGCTGGCCCTTTGTTTCAGCGCCTTGGTACCTGCGGCCACGCACGCAATATGGAGGAATCACAAAAGTGCTGAGAAGTTGAAGTCCGACTTGGCCAACTTCGATGTGACGAAGGTCTCTTGCAGCAGTGACTTCGATCGAGTCTGCATTCACAAGGCAATCACCACCTGGTACGGTAGCCTCGAAGCCTTCTCCGCACATGTGCGAGGGCCCTTCAGCCAAGAGGTACTGGAGTTGATGCGCACGAGCGGATCCGTCTCCTCCCACTACATCCTTTTGCCCATCAGCCCCCTTGTGTGTCTCTCGATGGACAATGTCCTGGCACTCTGCAAAGCAGGCGCCCCGGCCATTAGCATCATTAGCGTTTTCTTCAACCACGTGATCGCGATGGATTTGCTCTTTCTGCCAGCTATGGCCACTTTCTTCACGTGGAGAGCCCAAAGGGGACTCTGGCTTGGGAGTTGCAGGTGCAAACCCTTTGCCCTGGAAATAATTATTCTTCAGATACTTTGCATCATCGCGTCTATTGCAGGAGCCTTTGTTTCGGTCGTCGTCTCGGCAAGAAGCATAGAGCTGACACTTGCCTGGAACCTCTCCGCGCTCCTTTTCGCGTGCTGCGTGCGGCGCTTCTGTTGGCGTCCATCCTCGTGACATGTGTACAGAATCGCAGGAAATCAACAGGTTTCCGTTTCACTCGCATCTCCCGGTTATTTGAGTAAAACGTGTCCGGGGGAGGGTAGCTCCTGCTTTCTTGACATGCTTTTGTGAGTTTTGAGCGGGTACTATGTGTGATTCTAGCATCTTATGTACACTGAACTCGGAACTGTGGGATTGATGAGGGGGGGGGGGGGGGCCAAGCGCCTCCTCACGGTGTGGTTGGTTTCAAACGACCCGCTAAACCCAAACCCAAAGAACCTTCTAAACCGAGGCTTCAGGCCAAGGGTCCATGCAAATTTCGGAAAAGTTTCCAGAAATAAGGGGGGGGGGGGGGGGGGGGTGGAGTAGTACCCTTTCTGGGGGTTCCTGCAACAAAGACTGTCTCACTTTGGTGGGCTAATAAGGGGTACCCCCTACCATATGAAATGCCCGTATTGCCTTCAGATTCCAAAAGTCTCTGCTTCAGCCTGGCCATGGCGTACCTGCAAGTTGAAGCAAGTGAGCCCCGCAGGATCTGGCTTGAATCGCTTCGCGAGGAGTTTGGTCTTCGTTTTAAATCTTTCTCACGGGCGTTTCACCTTTTGAAGTTGTCGCTTCTTCGGCGACCTTAGCCTGATGCCATGAGTTGCTGTGAGCGAGAGCAGTTCGATGCTCACGAAACAGCGAATCCTTGGTCTTCTTGGTGCCCAGTGACAGATCCGGAAGCCCAGTTCGATGAGGATCGCGGCAGGCAATCGCGCGGCTCCAGTGAGACCAATCAAGGTCTCAGCGGAATGCAGATCGCCAGGACCAGCTGGAGCTTCCCAGCCCTTAGATGATCTGGGATAGCCTGGGAGACTTACAGGGTTACCTGAACTTTGTGGGTCTTTCGGTATCTTTTGCTCAAGTGTACGGGTGGTAGAGGTCGTGGTCTGGAGTAGGCACTTCTTTGGAGACGTAAGAAAGGACCCAAGCTCGTTCCATCACAGCGCAAGTGTGCATAAAGATTTAGGGTTTAGGGTTTAGGGTTTAGGGTTTAGGGTTTAGGGTTTAGGGTTTAGGGTTTAGGGTTTAGGGTTTAGGGTTTAGGGCCCTCTTGTGTGAACACCCACGAAACGCAGGACTTCGAGCCCAGATTCTCAAGGCACTTCGCTCGCTCTCGGGGATGGGCTCTCCCAGGCCCAGCACGAGCCTCCCCAAACCCTAAACCCTAAACCCTAAACCCTAAACCCTAAACCCTAAAACCTTAACCCTGAACCCGGAACCCTAAGCTCTGAACCCTAAACCCTAAAACCCTCAACCCTAAACCCTTAAACCCTAAGCCCTGAACACCCTCAATTCCCAGGTCCGGAACCAGCCCAGCAAGCTGGCGACGCCCACGGAGACGGCCGTCGACGAATGGATGCGCAGCGTCTCCCTGCGGAAGACATTGGCCCGGCCGCGTGCATTCTGGTTCGCCGACCCTTCTACCCGAAACTTCGGGGGGTAGTTGGGAATATGTTTTAATAAAAGAGTTTTATAATTATTATTAAGTACTCTACAGTAGTTACTCTACTTCCTGAGAAAGAGCTGAAGTTGACTATTGGGTTACTAGAATTCCTAAGAAGCAGCTAGGGGTTCCGAGTTCAGTATAGGACACTTAGGGATGCTTGGATGCTTGGGAAGAGTATGAATAATTGAGTACTCTACAGTAGTTACTCTAATTTCTGAGAACCAGCTGAAGTTGAAGCTTTGTTAGGGGGTTCAAAAAGTTCAGTATAGGAAACCAGAAGCAGAAGGAGCAGCTGTACCAGGCCTCTGTGAGAACAAGCAGCATCGACAAGTTCATCTCACATACCTGGAAGACGAAGGGACAATGGAAATTCTTGTCCCTTCTGCTCCATTTCGGCTGGCCAATCGTGCTGACATGCTGGGCATGTGGAGTTGCGATCGCCTTCAGCCTTTGCATGTTGGATGTCCTACCTCTTTTTAATGTTTGGGAGGTCCACGCCCTTGGCTACGACGGCGTGATTCCTTCTGGTTGCTGGATCCAGCTGTTCGGCTTCCTCTCCGTCATTCTCGGATGCCTCATCTTTCCGCATGTGCCGCACGGGTCAGACCAGTGCTTTCTCGACTTCTCCTGTATCCATCAGACGGAGAGCACCAAGACGCTTACTTCGCCAATAGTGGAACTTGAAACTCTTTCGGCCTCCTTATTTCGTAGGAACGGTATACGGTTTAGGGTGTAGGGTTTAGGGTTCAGGGTTTAGGGTTTAGGGTTTAGGGATTAGGGGTTTGGGTTTAGGGTTTAGGGTTTAGGGTTGGTTCTTGGAGAAGACTTCAGGACGAAGCAAGGGATCATGTCGATCCCGGCCTTCCTGATGCGCTCCGCGGAACTGCGGGTGCTCTGGAGCACCCCACTCCTCTCCCGGCTGTGGCTTAGAAATAGCAAAGAAATTAACTCTTTCAACTTTGGCGGCGGGGGGGGGCTTCAGGCCATTTTGCACCTGTTTGTCAGCTGCTTTTTGCGTTTTGTCCGAGTTCTGGGGAAGAGTACAGCTCCACCTTGTTTGTTTCCCCTGTTATTGCAGAAGTAAGGTGGTGTGTCTTCGAAATCGCAGCATATCGCAAGCTGAATCCCGAAGGCAAGATCGTCGTGGAGCAGCTGAACTTTGCCCCAGTTGTACCCTGTTTTCCCGCACCCCCGCCCCCCCCCCCCCCCCCCCGCCCTTTAGGGTTTAGGGTTTTTGTTGTTGTGGGAGTTTGCGGGGAGGGGGACGCCGGGGGGGGGGGGCTTCTGCTTAGTTTTTCAAGCAGCCTCTTAAAATCAAGGAGCACAATCGTTTTGTTGTAGTATGGCTACCGGGGCCATCAGTAAGGAACAACGAGCTCTCCGCATGCCTGCTGTTTTTGTGGTGGCAAGTGTCTTGCGCTGCCTTCTGGATTCTCCGGTCAGGGCCCGGGGGCGGCAGCCTCTGGGGCTTGCTACTCGTGCTGGTCATTTGTTTCAGTGTCCTGGTGCCGGCGGCCACGCACGCAATATGGAGGAATCACAAGAGTGCTGAGATTTTGAAGTCCGACTTGGCCAACTTCGATGTGACGAAGGTCTCTTGCAGCATTGACTTCGATCGAGACTGCACCTTGCTAGCCCGCTGGTACCCTTTTACCCTTTTTATCCGGTTCTGGGTTCCCTTCTAAAGTAACTAACCCAAAAACGGGTACCCTTGTTACATTATGGTTACTGGGCTACCAAGGCATTTACGAGGCCATCACCACCTGGTACGGCAGCCTCGAGGCCTTCTCCGCACATGTGCGAGGGCCCTTCAGCCAAGATGTTCTGGAGTTGATGCGCGCGAGCGGAAGCGTCTCCTCCCACTACGTCCTATTGCCCATCAGCCCCCTTGTGTGCCTCTCGATGGAAAATGTCCTGGCGCTCTGCAAAGCAGGCGCCCCGGCCATTAGCATCATCAGCTTCTTCTTCAACCACGTGATCTCCTTAGATTTGCTCTTTCTGCCAGCTATGGCCACTTTCTTCACGTGGAGAACGCAGAGGGGGCTTTGGCTTCGGAGTTGCAGGTGCAAACCGCTTGCGCTGGAAATCATTATCCTTCAGATGTTTTGCATCATCACGTCAATTGCAGCAGTCTTTGTCGCGATCGTCGTCACGGCAATGAGCATAGAGCTGACGCTTGCCTGGAACCTCTCCGCGCTCCTTTTCGCGTGGTGCGTTCGGCGCTTCTGTTGGCGTCCATCTTCGTGACATGTGTGCAGAAACGCGGGGAACCTCCTGCTTCACACTAAGCTCGCATCCCCTGTTTCACAGTTGCAAGCTCGCATCTCCCGTTTTATGAGTGAAAAGTGTCGCAGGGCAGGGAGGAGGGGCCGTCGACGTACAGGTGCAGCAAGCACATGAAAAAGGCTTTTCTGAACCACGGCCCTTTGTTAGGTGTCCGAGAATATACGAGCCATATCAAGCACCAGGGTTTAGGGTTTGAGCATGAAGCCCTAAGGGCCTAAACCTTAAGTTCAAGGACTTCAGGATATGGGGGGTCAAGGGGTCGGCCTTTGTGAGATTCTTGCGTGTTTTTTTCCCGTGTTTGGGAGTACTTTTTGCAGAGGGTTTCAAGCGCCGGCACAGGACTTGTGAAGCATTTCTTTTTTGGCTTCGTGTAGGCGATCTCCACAAACCGTCTCGGGCAATGAGCTCCAGCTTCGTTGTTATCAAGTGCACAGAAGTATCCCTGACTCCTCCTTTTCAGGGATAGGATCCTTTATTGGACCCCCTTTGTTCCTAGGTAGCCTTGTTGTGCGTGTCGTCCCTCTTTAACCACCGCGCTTTGTTTCTGAGGCCGGGCGAAACATGGAGCAATGCACGACAGAACCTTGCGTTCTACGAACAACGTGGTGAGGTTGCTGGAGGCCGAAATTTAGGGCAGCGACACAGTGTTGCTAGGATGATTCGACCCGAAATCGGCAACTTTGCAGGTGCACACCCATGGTCCAATCCGATGCCTACTTCAAACAGCAGACCTCCAAGCTCGAGCTCAGGAACTGTACGTAGCTGTTGCTTTCATACCAAAGTACTGTGATTCTGGGCTTGTCTCAATTCCGGACCAAGGGTCGAGGGAGTTGAGGGTTGAAGTAGGGTTTAGGGTTTAGGGTTTAGGGTTTAGGGTTTAGGGTTTAGGGCTTAGGCCCTCAAACCACATGGTGAAGGAAGACATGCTCTGCGTTTTTCCCTTTAAACGGGCTGGGGGAGGGGGGGGGAGAAGGGGCCTCATTCTACACTCCCTCGTATACTAAACCCACCTAAACCCTAAACTCTAAACCCTAAGCCCTAAGCCCTAAACCCCAAACCCTAAACCCTAAACACCCTAAACACCCTAAACACCCTAAACACCCTAAACACCCTAAACACCCTAAACACCCTAAACCCCCTAAACCCCCTAAACCCCCTAAACCCCCTAAACCCTAAACCCTAACTAAACCTGGGCAGGAGCAAGGAAAGGAGTCCGAGCCGGCAGAGCTCCTTGAGCTCCGCCCCCGCGATGCTGAAGTCTACCTTGCGGAAAGATACAAAACGACATCATGTAGCATGGGTTCAGGGTTCGGGGTTCAGGGTTCAGGGTTTAGGGTTTAGGGTTTAGGGTGTAGGATTTAGGGTTTAGGGCTTAGGGTTTACGATTGTTCCCCCACTTCAATAACCTTAGTTAGGCCTAATGGTCCCTAAGTAACCTTGATTTTGGTTGAAACCTAGGGGGGGTAGTAGGGGGACGCATGAATATACTTGCAAACTCGGCATCTGGCTGCATCTCTTTGTTGCACGGGGGGCTGACAAAGAGACAGAGAGAGAGGCGCGTCCAGTTTGGCCCATTCTTACGCGATGGTTTAGGCTTTAGGGTTTCGGGTTTAGGGTTTAGGGTTTAGGGTCCGTGATAGAGCAAAGCAGACCGGCAGCTCCTACAGATCAGACACCCAAGACCAGAACGACCACCCGGCTTTTTGCTGCGGGCTCTTGTGGTAAAGAGGCCAGGAACTTTCCCCCTAAACTCTAAACAGCTTTCCCCCCAACCTCTGAACAACCCTGTGTCCTAAGCCCTAAACCCTAAACCGACAAACCGACCCAAGATGAAAGTGCACATCCACTCCACAGCAGAACAAGTGAAAGGGTTTAGGGTTTAGGGTTTAGGGTTTAGGGTTTAGGGTTTAGGGTTTAAAGTTTAGGGTTTAGGGTTTAGGGTTTAGGGTTTAGGGTTTAGGGTTTAGGGTTTAGGGTTTAGGGTTTAGGGCAGCTTCCAGGCTGCCAGGAGCCACTGACACTTGGGGACCTTCTTTGTTTTGCATACTTTGGGATGTTCCCTCTTATGCTAACAGTCCTTAATGATGATGTTTAGGGTTCAGGGTTTAGGGTTTAGGGTTTAGGGTTTAGGGTTTAGGGTTTAGGGTTGAATAGGGGGGGTACTAGAATCCCTATTCAGGACTGTACTAGGAAGGGTACGAGAATCCCGATTGAAGACTCTAATCGGGCGGCACTACGATTCCTAAGGACTGTAAATGGAGGGGTACTATAATCCCTACGAAGGACTGTACGAAGGGGGGGGGGGGGGGTACTAGATTCCCTATTGAGGACTCTCATCGGGGGTACTATAATCCTTTTAAGGACTATAATACGGGGTACTATACTCCCTATGAAGGACCAATGTCTACTGTGCTCACGCGGGGGCTAGGCGAGCCTTCAGGAGAAGGAGTAGCCCAGAATATAGGGCCCTGAATACTTAGAATAGGGTTTTGGGGGTTATTCTAGTATAGTTACAAAGTTAAAGAGACCATAGGGGAATATTATTTGTGCTTATTCCGACCCCTAAATTAGAGCCCCCCCCCCCCCCCCCCCCCGTCTAAGACTACAGAGTCCGGCAAACCTAGCTCTGCATCTGCTGGCGCTGTATCCTGAAGCCCTGCAAGAAGGGTTGGGATTGAGGGTTTTTAGGGTTTACTGCAGCTGCTGCACTACAATGCGCCGAAAGAAGGATCTTGCAGATGTCAACTCACCTCCCCACCCCCGAGCGACCCAAGAAGCAGCAACTTAGCCACAGGACTCTGGTAACAGAGGTAGGTTTGAACATATTTTTTGATCCAGAACATTCACCTTAATCCCCACATCGTCCGTATAAAGCCATTAAAAGTTCAATGTTTTCTAGGCCCCACACCGACCCCAGTCAAGCCCCTAAACCCTAGAAACTCCGAAATCAATTCTTCGCACTTAGAGGCAAAATAAGGTTTAGGGTTTAGGGGTTAGGGTTAGGTTTAGGGCAGTTTTTGGAGTTGCAGTAAGTCCACTGCAGACTTGGGGACCTTCGACTAAAGCACGTAAACCCCAACCCTAAAAACCCCTAGCGGCGAATCTGGGGTGCCATTGCTAAGTTGCAAGATGATCGTGACCCGAAGCTCCAAACCCTAAACTGGCCCGAAACCCTAAGCCCTAAGCACTTGTCAAGCCCAGCGTGGTGTTCTTTCAGCCCTTGTAACCTTGCAGATGAGCCATGACTGGCATGTGTCGTGAAGCTGCTCTCGCCCTCCGAAGGCCATTTGCTCCGCATGAGCAAGACGTGTAGTGAGCAGCCTGATAGGCAACATCACAAAGCAAGGCACGGCATCATCAGATACACCAACATCTCTAAACCCTGTAAACACTAAACCTTTAACCCTAAACCGTCAAAGCCCTAAATCATCTTAAGATTCCGAGAGCTGGGCTTGTGAAGTCTGTGCGGGTGGCACGGCAGAAAGATGCCGGGTCTGGACGATGGCATCCATGGTCTTCCACTCCTGGAAGCACTCTTGAGAAAGAAGGCTGACTACTAAGCTCATCATTGCTGTGCTACTACCAGTGCTACTACGATGATACTTAGCATGTTGTTATCATGAGGATGCTGAAACCTTGCCATGATTAGGCATACTATGAGTACTGACTTCCTGCAACCGCTACGACTGGTTTGACTGACGTGGTCAAGGGAGAGAGTTCGGATTCGCACCTTGACCTTGTGTTGAGAGGCGTTGCAATCAGTCGTGGGTGTTTAGGGTTTAGGGTTTAGGGTTTAGGGTGAACATGTAAGACCCTGCCCCAGGCTCGGCAAGTGCCTGGCATCGGCCGAGTGGTATGGATCCACAGATACGTGCAGCATCTCCCGGCATCCCCACAGGATGTCGCGGAATCTGAGCTGAGAGTTTTCTCCGGCATCCCCGACACTTCCCATTGCTGGCATCCCATTTGCTGCCATGGCTTATGTGCAAGTTTCGCAGATCCCCGCCTCAGGGTGTCTGATAATCAGGAAAGGACCTGTCTTTTCAGAGTCTTGTCTGTCAGAGGCCGTGCCTTCCGAAGCATGAGGAGGTTGCGGATGCGTGTAGGAACTTGACCTCAAGGCCCCTCAAGGCCCTCTATGGCTGAGATCACAGTTGGTAGCTGCACCCTTCACCGTTCCCTAGCCACTGTGTGGTCGGCTGCCAGAGACAAGCGTGGAGCTTCCTTGCAGACGTTGCCTGGCGAGCCTTTGATTTCTTTAGACTGCGGAATCCTTAAGCTGAAAAGTTTCCAAAGCAGGCTTCTCAGCGTCCCTGGGATGCTTGGCAACCCAGCGCTGCATATTCATATTGGTTGCCGGTCCAAAGTCGCAGCTTTCGGGAGGACGTCTGGGTCTCAGGACTCTTGTGAGTAAAAGCCCTTGGGTCAGAGCACTGGTGAGTTCCTTTACGGAAGGACGTTTTCGTAGGATGCCAGCACAGAATCAAGACTCGCCTTTGCGAGCACCATGCGAACTCTGGACTTCTGAGCTGGGCGTCAGCCAAGGATTGTCATCGTCACAGAATCTTGTTTTCACTTTTTTTTCGGGGTCCCCTTCTTGGGTCTATCAAGGAGTCCGGGAAAAGGAGGGGAACCCCTGTTATACCTGTCAGAAGGATCATTCTCTCCATGCCTTCGATAGCAGGTTCCCTCAACCTTCTAAGCCCTACTTAGGATACAGGGTTCATGGACTCGCAGCCGGATTAGCTGTTGCATTTCTTGAGGCCTCTTCAGTGGCCTCCTGCCAAAAAGGTTCCGAAACAGAAGCTCCGGGTGGCGATGACGGTGTCGTAGAGTCACTCTGGGCTCAGGACAAACACTCTCAGACTCCCAAGAACTCCAACGGTCCAGGGTTTAGGGTTTAGGGTTTAGGGTTTAATTTAGGGTTTAGGGTAAACCCTAAAATCCACATCACTGGGATAAAGCGTGTTGGGATCCACTGGCCGCAGGTTGCCTGTGCTGGGCTCTCCCTCCTTGGACTTCGAAGTCGCCGCAAGCGGCACGCTGGACCTGGGGTGCTTTTGAAAGGCCCTCAACCCTAAACCCTAAACCTCTAAACCCTAAACCCCTAAACCCCTGAACCCTAAACCCCCCTATACAGGAACCCTAAAGGCCCCCCTACAAAGGACAGACCATCACCCCTTCGCGGGGGTTCGCTAGGCATGACAATGCCTAACGCCTCCCCAGATGCATAACGCACTCCCAAGCACAACCCACCATGCCGGACGTTCTTCGCCTGGAGGGTTCATGTTCGGCTTCTCTGAAACGTGCCCTCGATGCCGGTACTGGGGCCATGCACTAAGGCGTGCCGCCCAACAGCAGGCGCAACAAAACCCGCGTGCCCTTCGATGTCTTTAGAATTGGGAGACTCACTCAACTTAGGGCTTGTTGTGGGGCGCCGAAAACACGTGCCCTTCCTATCTGACTCGTTCGCCAATTTGTGTCGCAGCAAGTTGGATGCACAAACGAAGGAGTGAAGGGTCATGTGTGCTTGCGCCGTCGTGCCTTCGGAGCCCTGGGAGGCCGCGTTGAGAGGTGCAGGTTGGACACGCGGAGGCCAGATTTGAAGG